ATCACCAATTTACCAAAAACAGTTGAACCTCCATGTGTGGCCACCAGCTCCCAGAAACAACCAACTCTCTTAACCCATTAAGTTCCAAAAGTGACCGACATCAATTTTCTCCTAACAATATCCATACATTATCCAGAGATAAGGTTATGAGAATTAACAAAGATTACCAAAGAGAAAATGCCTTGATCTTACATTAAATTCTCTCAACTAATTCTTAAAGGAAATGTATAGAGATCAGTTTGGAGGATTTTTATGTTGATATTGGGACTTAAAGGGTTAAGTGACTGCTGATCCAAAGCACAAAAGTTTTCCCAGTCAAAGCCTTATGACCACATTTCAAGGCCAATGGTTTAATAATTTTCCTTTGATTTCAAACTCTTATAGGTGAACACTTGATGCATGTGACCTAGTCTCTCTGTTCACTAGTGTATAGTCGAACCTGTATTAATCGGTCACCCTCAGGGAATGGTTAAGTGACCGCTTAATACAGGGTGACCACCTAATACAGGTCGCAAGAAATACAGTTCAAAGAATTAGATCTCCAGTGCTGATCAGAACAGACGCTTGACGTCAAATAGAAACATTCATTTCCGGAATTTTAATGTTTCCAAAAATGAACAAGGAAATCAATGATTGATTTCCTTGTTTATTTTTGCAAATCATGAAAACACTGGAAATTATTGTTGTGCCTTGTGTGTTACATTATTTGGAACTGTATGAACACCGTGTGACCGTTTAATACAGGTTAAGACAATAGAAAAAGTTAGTCTTGTTGGGACTTCGTAAATGGTGACTGCGACCGCTTAATAGAGGTGACCACTTAATAGAGGTCAAAATTACAGTACATCAAGAGAAGTAATTCTCGGGACTTTGAAAGCTGACCGCTTAATAGAGGGTGACCGCTTTATAATACGGTGCCACTTAATACAGGTTCGACTGTATGTACTATGCTACTAAGAGTGTAAGAAGAAATTTAGTGACAATTTAGAACTAGATATATTGCAACTTAGAAATTATTGCATATAATTATTCAAAATTGATTGTTTATGGAAGGTCCGATTGTAATCAGTGATTTTGCTACCTCTGCGTCCTGCCTCCCTGATGTATAAAAATCCCCAAAAGATACAAAATAATTCATGGCATGCAGTGATCCCGTAGGACACAAAGATCGATCAATCAATCTGAACATGTATATTAATTTTGTAGAAATAACCATATTTGTGTAATTTCTGTGGCAGTTATTATGGCTGTTGTTGAACAATGCATATTTCTTTTAGCCTTTGTTGTGCTTGAAAATTATGGACTACAATGTATATTTTAATTTCAGTGTACTATTAAGTACAGAGTTTTGGAGTCTGTCTCCAGATTAACTGTCTGGTTACATAAAGGCCCAGTGCATTAGCATTTTCAATTTTGGACTCATTTTTTCTTTAAATAACATTCTGGGACTTATTGGTTCTGGACTGGGACTCATGATTTTTCATAAGACGACTCCCAGGACTTGGCATAACTATTTGTAACAAAATCACTGCTGTAATTACAATTAATTACTGTCAGGACAATATGTTATTGATACAATATTGTACAACATCTCACCAGAGCTGTTTGATTAACCGCTCAATTGGATAAATTAATGTGTCTGTAGGGTAATATCTTTTGTGTTTTCCACCTCCAATATTTGCTTACTTTGTCTTGAATGCCTGCAGTCACAAGAAACTATTTTTTCTTTTTAAGTGGATCTTTCGCTTGTGGATGGAGAAAAGGACAGTGTCTACTTCTGTGGTAATTCCCTTGGACTTCAACCTAAAGAAGCTCAGACATTGGTCATGCAGGAAATGGAAAAGTGGCAACAAATGTATGAGTGTTGACTGAAATTACATGACCTTCAATTATTTGATAAGTGAAATTTTGTTTATAAACTTGCACTTGGTATTCTGACAGTTTTCATCTGTAAGTCAAAAATAGCTAAATGCGATTGCTTTGATGTTGCCTTAATGCAGTACTTCATGGATTGCTGATATTTTGTTTTCACTTCTGTGTTTCAACCACTTTGATGGAAAACAAAAAACAGTCATGAAACCCATGCACAAGTGTATTTCCTGAGATTGATGGCTGCCTGCAAGGACAGTCTCAGGGAGAAGGGGGGGGGGGGGCTTTCTGGAGGGGTGTAAATTGCAGATTTGGTTTCACTCAATCTAGAGTTTTAGTAGGGAAAGTGGGAAAGCCAATGAAGATCATTCCCATGAATGCCAGGTCCAGTTACATATGGTTCCCCTTTTCTGTTTCCTATTAAAGGGTGTCTGTTTATCAGTGTTTACATCTATTGGCTCTTGGTCCCTGCTGCAAAATTTTGTAATTTGGCGGAATAATTTATACCTGCCAACTCTCACGCCTGCGGGTTGAAAACTTCGATCTCATGCCGGCTCACGCCTGCGGGCCAATTTCTCACGCCTGATTGAAAAATGTGAGTTGTTGCCGTCCTGCTTGACACAATTTCCAAAAATATGTTAACTCAGACCCATGTAAGGAACGAAAACCATGTGTAAATGAATTAATAACAATACCTTTCTCGCGATCTCTGATTTTGTGGATAAGCGTTTTCTCGATAACTTCGCCTTCGGCAGACTTCGGATGTCTTCGGAAGACTTTGGACTTCTTCAGGAATCTTTGGAAATGATCGTGTCGTCTGCAAAAATCCCAGAACTCCCAGGATAAAAATCTCACGCTTATATCTAAGAAAAAGTTGGCAGGTATAATAATTATAAATATAAATTATTAAGTTTTCCATTGAACAGTGTCCAGCATCCAAAGAAAGTAGTGTCCAGTGGCGCAGGGCTAGTGGATTTTGCTATTGGGCTAGTGAATTCTGTTTTTAACTTGCCCAACTGGCAAGTGATGTTTTTTGAGGAATTCGAATAACAGAAGAACTTTGAAATAAATTCTGCTAGTCAAAAAGTTTTTGGGGCTAGTTGAAATGACGTCTGGGCTAGTAAATGCTAAGCTTCAGCTTGCCCGAATAGCAAGCTGTAAAAATGGTTTTCTTTGCACCCTGGTGGCCCTGTGGAGTCAGACAGTTACTTGTCTTTAGTCTTCAGTCTTTGTAAATGATGGTTACAGACTGAGGTGGTCATAACAGTGCATTACTTAGTGGGGATCAATTCATCTTGGCTGGGGAGTGCACTGTCAACATACCACCTATCTGATAAGCCTCACAGATGGACACAAGTTTTACACTGGGATACTTCTAATACATGTATGCATGCATGCAGACAGCTCTACTTACAGCGTGTGGATATTATAATGCAATAGCCCAATAACAATATGTAGGCCTCAGTCACGTTACTCCTGGGGACAAAACCGTTTTATCTACCAAGCAGCCAATGACTGGAACATTTTATCTAATGATTCAAGATAAAAACATTTCTGACATTTTGTCTTCTATAAGACATATTAGGAGTATTTTGTAATTTTTATTTTTTTCATTCTTAAATTTATTTATTAGTTTTTTAAAGATTTTAAGTTTTTATCTTCAAATATTTAGGCATTTTTATATCTGTTATTTTATTTAATGTATGGCCCCACTGAAAACCATGTGTGGCGAGGGCTCGCTGTTGAAATATTTTTCTTATTCGTATTTAGTCAGAGTTTCACACCTTCCACTATTTGGCAGTGAAAAAGACATATTTTTTTCAGAAAAAAGGAACTTCCAGCTGGAAAGTACATGTATGCATCACCTCTTTGTGTTCTTAGGCAGTTTCAGATCAGATCAGTATAAATTTAATGCCAATATTGTTTCCTTTAGGGGTGTTTATGGTCACTGGCATGGCAAGTTACCTTGGTGGATAATTGAAGACTTTGTTTTATCAGAAAGTGCAAAAATAGTTGGTAAGTATTCATGTTCCTCAACCTGTGTCAATTTTTGTACAGTATTTTTATTGAATTGTGCATTTGGAAGATAAAAGAAACCAGCAAGAGACAATGACTAATGTATTAAATCACTGTGGACCTTCTTGTGATGAGGTGACTTTGCATTTTAGCCAATCAGCCGTTATTGTAGCCTGCGTCACAAACGTAATCTAACTCTTGTTAGTTATGTTTGGGAAGCAGCGCTGGCATCCTTGTTCTGGGCCCCGTTTGGAGTAGCCTGAGAAAACAGCCGACGTTTGGCGACGCTACTGGTGGTTTCCTCGCCAAATGACATGTGAGAAACAAGCGCAGAAATTCCATACTGAAGACGTGTCACTACCCAGATCTTGGTACTGCTTCTTATTGGTTGTCCCGCATGGGAAATTTGATTCAGCCAATCAGAAGCACTACCCAGATCTGGGAAGTGATGCGTCATCAGTATGGAATTTGTGCACTCGTTTCTCAGACGTCATTTGGCAAGGAAACCAGTACACGGTAGTGTTGCCAAATGTCAGCTGTTTTCTCAAAAGGCTACCTATTGAGTGCAGGACTCAATGACTTACTAGAATTGACTTTCAGATTTCCTTTAATCCTGATTGGCAAATCGATGATGGCTTTTTAAAAGGCCAGTCATGAAATGAAATTACATTAATGACACTGCATGAATATTTACTCCAACTTGGAAAGAGAAAGGGTATTTTCCTAGTCCCAGATAGATAATTTTTGCCAAGCAGTTAAGCATTTATCCAATCCCCATGTGTAATATAATATTAAAAATAGACGTAGTTTAAGCTATGGCTTTGATAAAAATTGTGCTTAAAACATCAGGCCCCATGCAGGTTTAAAAGTTGGATAGCGCTATCCACTGGATAGAGATTAATTTATATCCAGTGGGTATCACCATTGACCTTTTAAACGACTGGGGCCAGACGAAAAACCCTGATGATAGGAAAATTTAATATTACCGTAATTTATTAAATTGGTACCCCATATAAAGTGGTTGATACATATATGAGCAACCAGGGATGGTGACGTGCGTCTTGAGTTATACATTTTAGCAGAGGGTACAACATTCCCCTTTCACATACAGAGAAACTGTAACCAGAGGTTGTCATGACTTTGACAGCTTGACCCAATAGGGTGGGTTCCCAATTTAAAAATGGAAACTTCTACAATAAAAATTGTTGATTATGTTTGTTTGCTCTTTAATTAATTAAAGGTGCTAAAGAAATCGAGGTTGCAATAATGAACTCCCTTTCTGTAAATCTCCATCTGCTGTTGGTGCCATTTTACAGACCATCACCTCAGAGACACAAAATTCTCATTGAGGCAAAAGCATTCCCTTCAGATCATGTAAGTTGATTTAGATTATTGATAGATAAATCTTTTATTGTATGAATACTTTGCAGTCATAAAACTGAATTGCGTATTTTACAAATAACATTAGCTAAAATATAAAACTAATTACAATCATGAGAATATAAGTACCTTGTGTAGTAAAGCTGAAAAATATGTATAAAAATCTTACAATAGAGTCGATTGACTTCTTATTTGAAACTTTAAGAGCTTTATGCACAACCCTGGGACATAGCATAAACAAAAGAGCAAGAAACGTTCCGTATGGGAACGTGGCAAATTATATAACTTTTGACACCTTAAATTATAGCTGGATTGTTTTCTTGGTGGCAGCAGGTGGTATAACTTATGTCCGGGATTGATAGTAATGGAATCAAACAATTGTCTACATAGTCCGTTGCGTCTATCATATAGCGTTGGCAGGCCAAGGCTGTCAAGGCATTCCCGATATGACATGGCAACTGAAATTATGGAAAGCACTCTTTTCTGAATTCTTTCTATATCCTCATTAAGATAAGCCGGGAGTGCGTGATGGAAAACCGGAGCGCAGTATATATTCTAGTACAGGTCTGATTGTTGTACAATAGAAATTCACAATGTCATTAAGGGGAACACGAGCCCTTTTCAAGAGAACAATGAAATACAGGCGCTTATTTGTTTTCTTAATGCAATTCTACAATGTGAGTGTACCATTTCAAGTCACTGGATATCGTAAAAATAATTTGTTTAAAAATTTTGTGTACGAGACATGTCAAAACTTTTATCACCTCTTTCACATCTTTATGTCTTTTTATAGTAAATTCCTTTACCCTACAGGACACATATTTCTTGGGTAAATTATTAAATCGTGGCCTTAGTACACACAATAGTTTAATCTCAATCAATTCTATGCAGACCAGCTTAACAGCAGTTTTTTTACCACTATTCTATAGTTTTGCCATAAGTGAACTGAGTGAGTTCATGTTCAGTTTCTATTCCTTCTCTCTTACAGATGTACAATCAATCTAAATTTATCATAACACAGTCAGTGATATATACAGAAATATATCCCTATTTTGTTAATTTCAGTATGCTGTGCAGTCACAGATACGTTTCCATGGATATGACCCAGTAGATGCACTAGTGGAGGTGATGCCTAGGGAGGTATGACGATGGCAGTATGATTATGCTAGCATAATTATGTGAGCCTGTTTATGGGTATTTCTAATGAAACAGAAGTTGTGATGAACGACATTCGTGAGGCGATGCTGTTAAAGCGAAGATTGGATTTGGCATTTAAAATCAAGTTTGACAATGTTAGTCGTGAAATGACAGCAACGAAACCTGCTAAAAAGTGTGTTGCTTATTTTAGAGTTTTCTTTTTGTTTATTTCTTGTTTCTGTTGTTGTAGTTGTTCCGAGCTTGCTAGTCTTGATTTGTGATGATTTCATTGAAAAATTAACCGATTAATAATTGGTGGAAAACACGGGATGTTATTGATGTCTGCAGGCTCTCTTACTGAGGCTTATTCGTAAGAGCTGCTAGTGAATAGCACTGTAGCAAATTTCAGTGATTTCATATCATACGTGCCAAGCTTAGTTACTTTAATATTGTACCCTAAACAGGCCTGTACACCAAACGTGCAGTTAATAATCATTAGACAGATGCTAGTTAACATACTATAAACAATAATCAATTCTACTTTAAAAAGGGTTACCACTTCAGGGTTGTCAAAATGTGCAGGCAACCAGCACTATTGTCTGCTACTTTAAGGTTTTTGACGCCTGTAAATTATTGGAGAGAAGCGAAAAAAATGGACAATTAAAAAAGTTGTAAAATAGAAAAACAAAAAGAAATGGTTTTAATCATGATCTGCATGTTCTTTTTTGTGAAGCACCTTCCCTGCCTGGGCAACACATATCCCTAGTGATATGTGTTCCCCCACCTGGGAAACACATATCCCTAGCGATATGTGTTCCCCCACCTGGGAAACACATATCCCTAGTGATATGTGCTCCCCCACCTGGGAAACACATATCCCTAGTGATATGTGTTCCCCCACCTGGGAAACACATATCCCTAGTGATATGTGTTCCCCACCTGGGAAACACATATCCCTAATGATTTGTGTTCCCCTACCTGGGAAACACATATCCCTAGTGATATGTGTTCCCCCACCTGGGAAGCACATATCTCTAGTGATATGTGTTCCCCCACCTAGGAAACACGTATCCCTAATGATATGTGTTCCGCTACCTGGGAAACACATATCCCTAGTGATATGTGTTCCCCTACCTGGGAAACACATATCCCTAGTGATATGTGTTCCCCCACCTGGGAAACACATATCCCTAGTGATATGTGTTCCCCCACCTGGGAAACACATATCCCTAGTGATATGTGTTCCCCCACTTGGGAAACACGTATCCCTAATGATATGTTTTCCGCTACCTGGGAAACACATATGCCTAGTGATATGTGTTCTCCCACCTGGGAAACACATATCCCTAGTGATATGTGTTCCCCCACCTGGGAAACACATATCCCTAGTGATATGTGTTCCCCCACCTGGGAAACACATATCATCTGTGATATGTCTTTCCCTACTGTAGCATGCCAGCTACCTTCTCTTACTCTCCTGCTACTTAAAATCTTTTTGACAACCCTGCTAGTTTACACTGACTTGTCTTTGAATGGTTTAATCCTTGAACTTGTATATTACGCAAGTAAATGTTGGTAACACAAGCTTTGATTTTGATGCCTCCTTACCCAGGGAGAGGAGATACTTAAAACAGAGGATATTCTTTCAGTTATTGAAGAGCAAGGAGATTCAATAGCACTGGTAATGTTTAGTGGTGAGTAAACTGAAGTAATTAAAAAGGCTGATGAAAGCTCGTCTAATATTTCAAGGATACAGACAGAGTAAAACAGGACTCAAAATAAACAACTACAGTAATTTGGAGGTGAATGCATGTGCAAAGCTCAGGGTACTGTCTCCCCTCCCTCCCACTGTCCAGTAGAAACGCAATAACGTTTTTCAAATTATTTGAAGTTAAAGTTCTTTCATTAGAAACTGTCACGCTTAGTAGATTCAGCTCGTTAGTTTGAGTCGTTAACATGGCTTCATCATTATGACATCGTCATCATCATCATCATTGTCATCATTTTATTATTGGTATTATTATTAACAATTATTCCTCTAGCCCGAATGGGCTCTGAGTCAATACCCCATGAGGCCGAAGGCCGAATGGCCTATTGACTCAGAGGCCATGATTGCTAGAGGAATAATTGTTTTAGTAAAATCCAACTAGTTGGTCAAAACAACTTTAGCTAGTTAAAGCTAGACTTTAATGATTTTTTGCCCGCCAAATTGCCGGCGCTTTTCACTACTAGTGGGCTATATAACATATCGCCTAGTAGGTAGCTCAACCGATCAGAGTGCAACATTGATAATAGATTTTACTAATTATTGTTATTCCTCCTCCTCCTTGTTATTAGTATTATTATTAACTTTTACATTATTTCAGGTGTACAATATTATACTGGGCAATTTTTTGATATAAAAAGGATAACTGCTGCCGCCCAGAAAAAGGTAACTATGCACGTGAGCTTGCAGCTTCAGGCAACCATTTTTTTTTGTTATTTCCTGAGTGGCATTGATAAGGAAACTCTTCATAATACCAAAAATGCCAAGTTTTACTGTGGCTGGCTCTGTGAGCCCGAAAGATGACGCAAAACCTCTGAGTGGGCAAGATAAACTTATTTAGGATTTCCCTAGCTTTTATAGCCCAACTTGTTTGGTGAAGATAACTTGTTATAGTGGGGTTCATACAGGTCATGAAATTTAAGAATTATTTTCCTGGAAAGGCATGGAAAATTAAAGTTACAGAGTATGTTTGGTAGATATGTTACTGCAGATGTCAAAGCAAGGACGTGTACATGCACGATAGAGATGAGTAATTAAGCAGTGCAAATGGCTTGCATTTGGGTGGACACCAGTGTTTGTGCCTGTTGAACCGATGTAGGTCAAAAAATAGCCTAAAGCAAGGAATGTTTTATAAATATTTGAAAGTGACAGCTAAACCTATAAGGTCATGGAAAACTTGAAAAGGTGTTGGAGAAAGTTATGGAAAGTCATGGAATTTGAAGAGCTCTAAAGAGTGTCACTTACCCTGTATAGGATATTGGCCTCTTTGTTTTGCCATTGTCTCTGTTGATATGATGCATTGCCAACAACAATAACAACAAACGTTGGGCAGAATTCAGCCATCTTGACCTCATGCATGGCTAAGGGTGCTTTCCTAAAGTCAGAACTGGCCGGCCAGAGCTTGGTCGCACTGGTCATTTTGAGCTATTTTGAAAATGAAACAGCCTTTTTGATGAAAAACGATTTCCTTCGTGTTTAGGGTTTGACTGATCTGGCTGGATAGGTTTGATTAACAGTAAAATTCCCATTAAGACAGGAATGTCCTGGCCGGTCAGTTCTGACAAATGGAAAACGCCCTAAAGTTTAAGAGAAACTTTTCACCATGTCTTTGTTAATAATCTTTATTTTTTCTTTCTAATTAAAATGAATGACAGGGTTGTAGGGTAGGCTGGAATTTAGCTCATGCTGTAGGCAATGTTGACCTCAAGCTTCATGATTGGAATGTAGACTTTGCTTGCTGGTGTTCATACAAGGTAAAGTTTCTTGTTGGCTGTGCTGGTCATCCACTTCATAAGCCTGCTAACCCAGACGTATTTCCGACGTCGCTTCTCTCCTTTTCAGGTGTGGAGAAGCGACGACCGCGAATACTTCGAGTCTTCGACGCTCGCAGGCTACCACTTGATTAGTCGCTGGAAACTGTTATAACTTATATTTTTCTTTTCTCTTGAAGACTATTGTCATGGTCTGAAAGGGTATTTTCGGGATGTGGTATAATTTGACCAAATGCGGTGCGGGATTCGGGAAAACGCAAGATACTATCTTAACAGGAAACGGGTGGATTTTACAGCTACGCGAGAAGTGGAATTCGCCAAAATTTAAGCAAGGGATGCTGGACTTTTTTGCCCGTATGTTGAGAATGTGGGAAATCATACGTTTGAGCGGTAAATTCAAATCATTTCAAACCAAACTATTAGAGAGTGTGCCTTGTTAATTTACTTTTTTTATTTCATTGTTTTTGGAAACAAAAGAGGAATTCGGGAAAGCGATGAAAAAAAAAAGAGGGATGCTGGATTTTCGTGAAAAAGGGGAGGAATGCTGGACCCATCCTCGGAACCCGGGGGCAGATATTGGGGGCGAAGGAAAGTCTAAACGGGCGGAAAAAAATGGCCCGAAAAGTAAATTACGGGGACGTTCTTTACTTTTCTTCGCGCCATTTTTTGAGAAAATTTTCATTGAGAAAATCCCGTTCTCGTAGTCGTTCTAAATCTGCGTGTATGTATTTTCAAGAAACGGCCCAATTTCTTGATGAATTCAAAAAACCCTGTTCAACATAAGATTCCAATGAGACAAGGCGATTTAATTATTCTTAGTTCCCTTTATTGCTTTTAGTATCTTAACTCAGGGCCAGGTGGAATTGCCGGGGCATTTATACATGAAAAGCATGCCTTTGACTTTGATCTTCCAAAGTAAGTGGTAGCCGTTAGATCAGCCAGTTTAACTTTATTATGGTGTTCGTGCTTGTTGCGTTCGTTTTCTGAAGTTTGATTTGTTTGTCACAGTGAACAGGGGATTCAAAAGCAGCCAGAATTCGCCTCGTTAGAAACCAGACGGAAAGTGGGTCGAGTTAACTTTCGCAAAGACTTTGGGACTGTTACGAGGGACGGGGATAAAAACATTGGCCCATAGAGATTCTAAGCTTCACGTATACGGCAAACGACAAACGTCAGATTCAAGATGAGAATTTCTCAAAATAGAAAATGAGCAGATAATAATAGTTCAAAACAATTCTTATCGATTAAAAATTGCGTGAAACTACTAATTTATGTGTAGAAATAATGAACAGTAAACGAGAAGTAAAGATAAAACTCGGTCGTGGGGTACAAATTCGCGTTTGCCTTTTGACGTAAACGTGATGCTTAACCTCTCAAAAAGCTGACCGGCGCCTCCCCAGTAACTGTCCCAGAAACAATTGCGGGACGCATTTCGGCTTCAGATCCCTTCTTGTTTCTAAAATGACGAATGATTCTATCAGTAATTGATTATTGAAGTTCAACGTTTGAGTTGAACCGATGTCTTTTACTCCACTTTCCACTATTCGCGCCATTATTTTCGCCATTATTAATTCAAGATTTAATGTTTTAGCACCGAATTTGAGGCTGTTTTGGTGAGTAAAATACAGCACACCATTGAGGTCAATACAGTCGGAGTCCATTATTTCTAGAATTGATTTGAGCCCTTGGGCTAGAATAAATTCATTACTGGACTGGAATAGATATTCGATAGGGCTGTTTTGGTTCAAATTGTGCTCAGATGGCTCCTGAATACTATCTCGACTGAGATAGCTGGGCGGGGACTTTTTTCAAAACAAATTGTTTTCTAGATCATCCCAACACAAAGAGCTGTACTGTAGGCTGTGTTGCAGGTATTACAATTGGAGAGTTTAGGCGGAACTCTTCTCCTTCAGCGCCTGCTATTTCACAGGCTAAAAAACTGGATCATCCTTTTAGAGTCAGGTCTTCATTCTTACTTTTTGCATCGCTTCTTTTGGCAGATTTGCTGGTTGGTGGGGACATGACAGGAAAAGTAGATTTGAAATGGGACACGGTAAATATTGTTTTCTGCTGTTTCTTTTTGTTATTATTTTGTTTCTACCAGAGTGCAGGAAACAGAAAATTTAGGTGTGAAATGGGTTATCGTTTCGTGGAATAATGATCGGAAGTACTTGTAGCGTCTTCAAAAGTTTAACCTGCGATCAGCCGTTCTTTTTCACGGCTGTTTACGGGTTATTGAATGTTGTATGGGCGTTAGTTGACCAAAACATGTGATTACGTTTGTTCATAGAATTCAAATCACTTCCTGGAGCAGCAGGTTTTCAGTTGTCAAATCCTCCTTTGTGGCAAGCAGTGTCTCTTCTTGGTAGTTTAAATGTGAGTACTAGTAATGGGTTGATACTACCCACCCAGCGAGCAAAGAAAGTGGTGTCCTACAGCCTGGGGCCAGAGGATCTTGCTATCAGGCCAATGTCTTCACGAGTCAGTTTAATAAAAAATTTACACGTGTTATTTACAAGTGTACCCATTTTATTAGAGTCTGAAAACACCAGCTACACTAATAAATTACACTGAGCTTGTGAAAGTTTTATTAAACTGACTCCACTGTCCTTAACTTGCCGCGACGCTTGTGGTGTTTACACTATGGCGGACAAATTTGTTATTCAAAAGTTCAGACGGTTTTGGTGGTCACACCAAGCCGGTAAAATGTATAGCCGCACCGGCTACAAATTTATGATCGACTTTTTTCGTTTCAATTGTTGAAAGGCGAGGTGTCTAAATTTTTGTATGGTTGACGTTAAGGAAAGGGGGTTCCGCGTGAAATGTGCTCGACCATAATTCCCTCTTTATGCTTGCCTTGCTTTCACCAGTCTAAGTTTCTTGTCTTCTTTGCAGGTTTTTGCCAAAACCTCTATCAAACAGCTGAGGACAAAATCGGACATTTTGACAGGTAACTCGAAAAGGAGGTGATTGTTGGCTGCACTTAGCTCCAAGCAAGCGTGAGCATTTGCATCAACAGTGTCAGAGTTTTGGTGAAATTACAAAGCTTAATACCTGACTTGATGGCGCTAGCTTGTTATTAGCTAGACACGCCAGCACACACCGAAAAATGTCGGCAAGAAGCTATGCGTTTGCGTATTTAAAACCCGCTACATTTATTTGATTTTGTGATTGGTTTGCTGTATCACCTTATATGTAGTTCGGATTGGCCCGCGAGGTTGTTTACTTTAGCTCTTATTGGTCCTGTTCAATTTTGTCGGGGTCTTCCTCCGTTTTGTTTGGCATAAGTATCATGGAGCTTGAGCAACGACAAAGCCTACGGTTTCGAGAATGGCGGAAAAAACGATTGTTTTAGGGGCTATTTAAGTGATATATATCCTAGCACCAGGAAGATCCAGAAAGGCGGATCATCCTGGCGCCATATGTTTTCTGTATTCGGTTTACATGCAAAGGGTTGTACTTGTCCCTAGCGCTAGGATCTTCCTAATACTCGGATCCTCTTAGCTCTGAGAGGGAGGAATATCCTAGTACTAGGAAGATCCTCACACCATCATTCATGTAAATTGCCTTCGTTAGAAATATCCTAGTACTAGGGACAAACTAGACAAAAATGGCGGCGGGTCTTTTAGTGGCTAATCGCGGCCTAAAAGCTCGACTATTTTGTTACCACGAGCTGAATTTTGCAATAATTGTGCTGAAAGGTAGTCGTTTACGCCAGTAAAGAGAGCAGAAGGGCCCAAATTGCATTTTTGTTTTTGTTGCCCGTCATTTTCAATTCCATCTAGATCCTTCTCTACTTAGGCACCACAAGGACTGACATTTCTACTTGTTAACCCAACGAAAAGTTGTTTTGCCTTTTAATATCTTCCTGGTACTAGGCTGGATCTTCCTTCCTTCATGCAAACAGCCCTTTAGATTAGCAAAACGAAAACTCTGCACTTGCATCACGCGTTTTTTTTTTTTACATTTCTTTGCCATTGAGTTGGTCGACGTTTTATGAAAAACTTGAACTAGAGAAAACGATTTTTTTTTCTGAACTTCGATATAGTGCTTTAGACTTCAACCCCAGAAAAATTCGCCAGCATTTGACAAATTGAACGAGATGGATTAAGAGCGGAGAAGTTTGAAGCAGCACGAATTCACTTGTTGTGTGGCGTTTTTGCTGCCTGTTGCTGTTGCACCATAAGGAGTAACTATAGAGTTTTAGCATCGACGACGGCGACGGCAGCGACAACGTCACTTTGAAAATGAATTAGCGTTTTTTCTAACTTTGTCGCGTTTACCGGTAATCTAATTCGCTGAAAATGTCTACTGTAGGCAAATTTCCCTGGAGTTGATTTCTTGGAGACCGTCGCCGTCGTCGTTGCTAAAACTCCCTAGTACTGACTTTTAGCAACGACGACGGCGACGGCAACGAGAACGTCAAAAAAGCAATAGGTTTCTTAAGAAAAACACAAAAACAAGTTTGCACGTGCATCACGCTTTTCTTTGCCGTTACTGCACCCTTTTATGGAGGACGTAAACAAGCGACGAAGAAATTTCCTTCTCTTTCTAAACGGGAGTGCGGCCCCAAGAAATCAACTCCAGGGAAATTTGCCTACATTAGACATTTTCAGCGAATTGGAATAAACGCGACAAAGCCGTTTGAGAAAACGCTAATTCATTTTGAAAGTGACGTTTTCGCTGCCATTGCCGTCGCACATGCTAAAGCTCAGTAGCGAGCTCTGTGGTTCTACGATACTCAGGTGAAAATTTCTTTAATGTTTTTCAGCTTATCTCGAACTTCTTCTTCTACACTACTACGGTTACTCAGAAGACTGTGAAGAAACTCCACCAAAACAGCAAAAACTGGAGAATGGAGGCCGGACAAGCAAGCCCAAGGTTCATTTGTCAATAGTCACCCCAATCAACCCATCTGAACGTGGCTGTCAGCTGTCCGTCAAATTCTCTGTACCAATCAAATCTGTTCAAGAACAACTTCAGAAACGGGGAGTGGTGGTGAGTTGACATAGGCGAATCTTTGCTGACGTCAATGTTTAAATTGTTGTTCATTAGCATACGAGTTAGGCCATGGAAGGTGTCACCTTATGCACAAATTGAATTCGAATGGTGAAAGAGTTGGTTAATTTGAACAATTTGTGCAATTTTTAGCCCTTTGTAAACAAGAACTACGGAAATAGCAGCCATTGAAATCTGCGAAATTGCTGGGTGACAAAAACGTTAATGAGCCCATACATTCTTTGTAAAGTTTCGAGTTTTTCAGAGATAATAGATAATTTCTCCGAAACCATTCGGTATATCGGGCTCAAATTTTCACAGATAACTGAAATTGATATGCTCTTTCGATATTTAGAGAGTTGATTTTAATAACCTGATGGGAGAATAAGAATCATATGCTAATGAGCCAAAAAATGTAAACAAATATTGGCCTATAAGGAAAGGCAAGCAGCACTGCATACAGACATACATCACCTCTATAAACCTCGGATTTACAGAGTCGCTGTAGAAGCTAATATGCCACGGAAGACAAAAACGAGGAAGAAATAAACGCTGATATATTGAAGCAAAAAGTTGCAAAGAAAACTGACTACTCATTAGCTCATCATTACAGCGACACTTTTGCCGAAAATAAAGTTTTATCTTAAATAATTTTGATTTAAAATTGGTGTCGTCAAAGTTGTTCGCCCTACGACTAGACGGCAACGAGAAGGTTGCTTAAAAAGTGAATTTTTCAGCGTTCTTTCAGTCTTTATCACAATTATTCCTACCCACTTACTTTGTGAAATGTTGGCGAACCCTCCTGATGTCGAATTCCAAGGGACAAGTAAGTTCTGAAACAATAAAATTTTGTCGTTGCTTGCCCTACAAGACGCGAAAACAGGCATTTTCACGTCGAAGTCGTGCAAAAACGGCAAAGAAATGTGCAAAAAAGTGTGATGCACGTGCGAAGTTGTTTTTTGCTTTATTAAGCCTATTGTTTTTTAGAAGTTCTCGTTACCATCACGTCGTTGGATCGTTGGATTAGTGAGTTTTGAAACGTAGCACGTGATAGCCTGTGGTTGGCAGGATTAGTGGGCATGTGCTGCAGCTTGTTGCAGCGGAGCCGCGAAAGGATTGGGGGCAAGTCAAGAAAATGTCCCGGGCATAACAATCCTGACACTTTCGTAGGCTAAGCACGTGATACGTCCTTGTCATTCCGGTAAACGCCCTTGAGTTGGGAGGGGGAAAAACAGCAACAACAACAACAACACAAAAGACACGCTTTAATTGAGTATCAATGTTTTTTAAGCAAGAAAGTACCAATTGGGGACGGGACCGCCATTGGTCATCCGAGCCATACGAAGGTCTTGCCGATTTCTCCTCAGTTTTTCTAAGACCCTGAGTATCGATTTGGTCCCGGGAATCGTACCCGTAACTTCTCGCTCTGCAGTCGAGCGCTCTACCAACTGAACTAGTCCTGTCGCAGTTGTAATCAACATTTCGTGTTATGTATTATTTATCCTTACACGTTTTGTTTTGTGTTTAGGTGGACACACGTGAACCCGACGTGATGAGACTCGCTCCTGCCCCGCTATACAACAGCTTCACGGACGTGTATCGTTTTGTTACCATATTAGGAGAAGCTTTTGATCTGCTGAACTCGGAGGTCGCTTAGCAGTGTTGTTTGAACTCTTCACCCAGGCGATGATATTAGAGATCCTTAGATTCTTAGACGATGACGACTACGAGGACTACAAAGTATTGCTCGCGCGTTAACCAGTGTCATTTTGGCGGGAAAACGTAATAGTCGTTGTCGGTAACGTAAACGGTCTTTGTCATCATTGAGCTTATTATAAGCATCGACGACGGCGACGTCAACGAGAACGCAATAGGTTAGATTGGCAAAAAAACAACCCTGCACGTGCAAGACATGGAATAAGCGCGATAAAGTCTGAAGAGCGCGACTTCGCTTTTTAAGTGACGTTTTCGTACCCGTCGTCATCGTCGTTGCTTAAGCTCCCTAATAAACGCTTCACTACGTCGCCAATTTGTTGATGAAGATGATGTAAACTGCGGAAATACATAGCATAGTTGGTCTGCACCAAGAGCCATTATGGCTCTTGTCTGCACTCACTATATGGGTCTTCATAGCTCAGTTGGAAGAGCACTGCAGCGCTTCGCAGAGGCCATGGGTTCGAATCCCGTTGAGATCCCGAATTTTTCTTCGGTTTAATTTGCAGTTGCTTAAATGCAATTACCACTGTGACGATCATATCTTAATAAAAATTTATATTTCCGCAGTTCACATCATCTTCATTCTGTTTCATTTCTTTCACGGGTTAAAATGAACTCAACAAATTGGCCTGCTCCCAATGTATGTGTCTTCATAGCTCAGTTGGTAGCGCACTGCAGCGTAACGCAGATGCCTTGAATTCGAATCCCGTTGAAGTCCCGAACTTTTTTTTTCGGGTTAATTTGCAATTGCTTAAATTACAATTACCACTGCAACGATCATATCTTCATTTAAATTTGTATTTCCGCAGTTCACATCATCTTCAATTAGAGAACTCTCGTTGGGACGGTGAAAGCCGCTCAATAGAGGTCTAAGTTCCCATTCTTTTCTACAATTATTTCGGGACTGACTACTGGCCACGCTTAGTAGAGGGTGCAGGCCGCTTAATCGAGGTTCAACTGTTCAATGAAGCTTTCCGGGGTGTGTATTTTTTGAGCGGAATACGCGAAAAAAAAAACTTTGCGTCAAATCTCGTCCCCGAATCTTAAGATCTCTAATACCGTAGTGTGTCTAGTGTGAACCAATCTTATAAAAATGAAGTGTGTATAAGCAAACTACTAGTAATTCCTCAAGGTACAATTCCTTTACAAAAGGAAGAAATTGTCGCTTTGAGATAACCTTCTAGTACGTATAACTTATTTGTCATACTGGTTCCCTGAACTGAAACTCTAAAACCAGTTCGGGAAAAAATAACCTTAATTTGAAGTTTAAAACTGAAAATTGTCTTTTAAAAGGAAATGAATTGTCTATGTTTTTTTTAAGTTAAATATTTATTTAGAGGTACCTTAATTTTCATTTGTTTTCGTTATTTATTTCTAGGTTGTAAGAGTGTATATGTTTTATATAATCGAATTCGAACATTTTATCACTTTGTCTTAGTATTTATAAAAGGGGGTTTGTAGTGCTCTTCAAGGGAGCATTGAGTGCCAAGTAATGCAATAAAAAACTGGAATAAAAATTATTTTTGACAGTAAAAATTATTATTGCTCAAGCAGTTGTTTTACACTTTCTTATCGCGAGTTCTTTGCGAACGTCGGAACGGATGAGAGCAAGCTTCTGCAACAAAATTCACGCGCAAAGGCTTGCTACGCAGGTTTGTTTTTGTCCACATAAACTGGGTGAAATTGAAATTAGTTCTTTGAATTCACTATTTTTTGAATTTTTTGTCATAGAAAGAAATTGACAAGTATAATGGGCCAAGACATAAAAAAATTAACGATATACACTTACCAGTTACAGTCAAATACCGTAAAATTCCGAAAATAAGCCCGGGGCTTATTTTTGGAGGGGCTTGTATTCGGAGGGGCTTATGTACGGAGGGAAATTTGCGTTTAAAAATTGATTGGGCTAGCCTTATTCTTGGAAGGAAATTTACCGTTTTTCTTTGGTTTACTTTGTATTTGAGGGCGATTTCCAAGTACAAGCCCCCCGGGGGGGCTATTTGGAGGGGCGATTTAACGGAGGGTTTTTTGCGTTTAATAGGAGTTTGGGGGGCTTATTCAGCGGAGGGTCTTATTTTCGGAATTTTACGGTATGGCCTTGCGAACACCCCGCTATAACGAACAGCAGCTAATTCCCCGGCGAAAACAAATTACAGACATTTGACTGAAATAAACTCCCGCTATTACGGACTCTCACTAATGAGGACACTACCTCAAGGTCCCTACAGTGTTCGCTATAAAGGGAGTTGACTGTATAATGTTGATCTCATATTTATTACCAAAGTTTTACATCAGGTTTTACAGGGGCACCCAACGACTGTTTTCTGTAAAATATCTGTTCGGATCGGAGAGGCAAATATTTAGCCTCGAATTTTCTATTCTTGAGGAGGGCTAAAAATTTCTAGATTGATCATTCCATTCATGTACAATTTTTGAAGCTTTTCTAATAAATTCCCTATCGATCTTCTGAGGTTTAGCTTTTCACATTTCACTCCCCAGGTTAGGCTATTTTTCGTAGAAGAAAGGAAACCTAAAATTCTTTGGATTCAAAAATGTGATGGAAGGAGTCAGAAAAATAAAGCTCACTTTCGTAATACGTATAATTGCATCTAAAATTTTCGGGAGAATAATACTGAAGCCCTTTTAATTTCGGAAACACTCAAGTTGCCCTAGGATGACCGAATAGATACAAAGTTTATAGCGCCGTTTAGAATTCCTTACTAGAGATCTAAAAGTGCTCTGGATAGCCTAAAAAGTGTTTTCAATGCGCATGCATTTCAGAGGAAACTGTCGTTTTGTAGTTGGGTGCTCCTGGTTTTATTTTACTCGTATTATTCAAATGTATATATGAGCTTTTGCTTTATATGTTCTCAGCAATTCACTTAAACCTTTGTTTTTATTATAATAAGAAATCCTTATTATTTTTTTAAATTTTGTTTTAAACGGAATTAACTTTATGAAAAGAACGAATTGCATGGCGGCTTACGGCTCTCGGTTTTAAACATCATCTTCCTTGATGGAGACTTTAATTGAATCTGATTTTGCTGATCATCAACCGGTTGCTATAAGCAGCAGTCGTTATAAAGCCTCCGTCATGCGCAGTATAGCACGCACCCCAGCGTTCATTCAACTTGATAGTGAACAAAAACTGACCGGGATAGAAATTTTGGCTGGGTTTGGTTGTGTACAGTCCAACCTTTTTGGATGAAATAGTTGTACCAGAAAGCCCTTCCATCTTATAGCAGGGAGCGTTAGTGCCCTTATCGCAAGTATCAAACCCGATAAATCTGCTACCGTCTGACACACCAAAGCTGATGTCGCTATCAACCGTCGTTCCTATGGTGACGTCATTTGCCACAGTGATTTCGACAGTCAGTGGTGTGTTACCTTTGAAGAAACCAGCGGGGATCAAAGGAACTTTGAGAAGAGCTGCATCCCGTGAAACACCTCCATTGAATGTCAGCTGCTCAGCGGTTGCTGTGCGAGAACTATCGATGAATGACGCATGCGCCTCCAGCCATGAAGGGGTCATGGTCGGCTGGTAGATTAATTTTCCCTAAAATCGAAATAATATGAATGAATTCAGTCAAACTCCCGGATGTAAAGGTTAACGCGCGCGTTACACAAGAAGCCAGTTCCAAAGGAATACTCAGAGTTCTTTGCACTTTCAGTTCCAAAGGAAGCACAAAGTAGTTAAATTATAACTTTTCAAAAAGGAATAAGCATTATGTATCCTTTTTTTCTACGCTATTTGCATAAATCTGATTTTTTAGTAAAACCTAAGATAGCAGCCATTTTAAATGACGTCACAAGTCAGCAGCGCCTTATCTTATGAAATATAATACCAGGTACACTGGGGTAGAGCCCCCACCCTCCCTTTCCTCTTTTTACTTTTCTGGCTGTGGCCTTGTAAATTTGCCTGTACTTCCAGGGAATAATTAATGAAGAAATGCCAAACAACTTTTCTGTGAAAATTGCCGGATTCTTTCTAAAGTCATTTTTAAAACTCTTTTTGTTGAAATGAACATATTTTGCACTGTATTTCCATCTTAATTCTTTCTTTATTCATATCTTTGTAGCTCCTGTAAAGTTTAATTTTCCTAAACACCCCATAACATTGTGGCCAAAATCTCATAATGCACTAATTAACTCAAATGCCATTTCCACAAAATAGGCAAATTCCATTTTATAGAACTGTTGGTAATAGTGATTTCGATAAAACGGCCGAATCACATTATAGACAATGTTCCACTTTCTTTGGTGCATCACTATCGAGGTGAATCCTTGTACAATCATGCAATTTGGTTCTTTGTTAAAATGAAAATAATTGAAAACATTGCAAGCAGGTCTTTCGGAAATGAATTAATTTTGAACAATCTTGCTAAAAAAAGAGTAGCTAAGTGTAATTTTTAAGAAAATGCTTAGCAAAAACACCTGTTTCTAGTTTTTGAAAACTCTGAAAACTATCGAAGAAATTGAAGTTGATAAAACGGCCCATAACATTAAGGATCTAAAACTAGAAATATCATTGGATTTAATCGACTTACTGAACAGAACGACCGACTAAGGCCAAGAGCCAGAAGAATTCCACTGAAGGCAATGAGAGAGAATTTTGACTGCATGCTTTTCTGGAGCTTGTATACTTCAGGCGGAGTCAACAGCAAGACGCCATGCAACACAGCCAGATAGCAATGGATAAAGGGGCGAAGTCGCTGCTAGCTTTTATTATTTAAGAAACAGATAATGCATTTACACGGTTCTCAAGTGTACATATATTGATGATATGATCAACCGCACCTACACAGCTGTTAAATTACAATTATTTTAATGGGCTCTAGAAAAGTATCATTGACTCCTTTCTTATCAGTTTCTTCAAATCTCGTGATTTAGCTCACGGAATTCTCAGAAATTTTAGCCCAAGACAATTGGTCAGAAAATTGATTAAAATATCAAACAACAACAACAACAACCGCTTTAAACTGTACAAGGTAAAGAAAAAGGAGCACACAGGCTAATATCCTACCTAGATCTCTTGTTTACTAAGCCGAAGGCGAGATCTGGTCAAGTGAGTAAATTCAATTTTCAATCAAAGCGACAATTGCATCGCGTTACATACCAGGGTTGGTAAACAAGACGAAAAAAATATGATACTCCCATTCGGGGGAAATTGATCTCAGACTGAAATTTCAACAGATTTCTGAACAAATTAAAGAAAGATCATCATCAACTTAACATAATTCCCGACCAAGTCGGGTTTGTCACCTTTAATTCTAAGCCTTTCCTCTACATTTCACTCACAATCAATTTAGTGCTAATTAAATATACTAGAGCCATTTTCTAAAAATCAATTATTTTGCAACTTCCGATTGGGGTAGAAAGAAAAAATGTAAAAGGTAAGGATAGAAATATGGAATTTATATATCTGGCACAAACGTAGACTAGCAATTACCATCGTCTGTCAGTCAGTAATATTTTAAGTTCATCAGCTTGATCCAATAACCTCTCCGTCTTTTGGAGCTGAAACAGAGTGCATTTGTTTTACGCCAAAGACAGGTGTTGACGAACTGATTCCACCCATACCCATTTTTGTCCTCTTCCGATAAAGCTATATCGCGGGACGCTGTAAATTTGCGAGACTTTAATTTTGCGTATGGCCAAATAGCGGGACTTGATTATTGCGACTGTTATTAAGGTTTTCCTTATTGGAAATAACAGTGATTTTCGGCCAATAAAAATTAAATAAACACTGCAGCGTTTAATCGCAGATACCAATTTAATCTCGCACTCGCATCCTGATCCAAAGATCAGAGACAAAAAATTAAGTGATAATACACACACGTAGTGACCCATATTCCCACTTAACCCTTTGGCGACCGCCAGCGAGTAGGGAAAAACCCGGATTTTTCACCAATTCCTCTTTATGTTATTTAGCATGGAAATGGCTAAAATGAGTTTTGCAACAATAAACTAGGCATTTTCTGACTAATCGGATGTAAATTAAGCAGGTTCTTTTTTGTAAACGTTACAGTCAAGAAGACTTTTGCAGGGACTGATCGAGGGGGGGGGGGGGGGGAGTACTATAGGAATTTCTGGATGGGGATGTGCCGCTGGGACCCTGGAATCCTTAACCTATACCAGAGCTAGTTCAGCCGAATTTTGCTATCCTATACTAGAGTAAACTCCCCAAATCCCCCCTATCCTAGAGTAGCTGTTTTCCAGAAACTACTGAGGTCACCAGCACAGTCTAGCCAAAACAAAACCTTATACCACAATCCCACTGAGGCTAGTCTAGATAAAATCTTCAACCAACTTATTAATAAATGGCCTTCTGACAGTCACGTGTCAACAGAAGTAATGCTTCATTGTATGATTTTTACGCTATTTCCTAAGAATTAAACGTATAATGAAAACTTGCCAATACTCTATTTTCTAACAGTGGCTACTAAAACAACTTCGCCATGTTCGCGTGTAGTCTACGTGACAGTCACGTGTCAACAGCAGTCATGGTTCTTTCCTCGTGCATGGCAATGTCAATCTTGCTTTTTACTCCAACCGATGATCTTAGAGAGGCACTGCAAGGTTCTTTTGTACAACTTGGTTCATTTGTCACTTTACTTGACCACAATCCGAATTTATTGTGGTTTTCTTGAGAGTTTTTCACGCTTTTTGCTGCATTCCTCTTCTGCATTTTTCTAGAGTATGCTGCACGTACGTCGCCGTTTCTCAAAACGTGAAGGATGAAGATGAACAAACCCTACAAATGTGTGTATCGACCAAAAAAAAGAAAGTTAAGTTCCTTCATAAGGATGAGAGAAAAGAAGAAATGAAGGCAAAATTCATAGTCAATGGTTAATCGCAGTACATGGTATTAGGTACCATCTACCATCTCTACTATTCTATGTTCATGTTAATTTTCTCGATCGCTACATTCCTTGACACTACTGTCAAAGTCTGGAGTAAACTTCGAATGCTTGTGTTGCAAAATAAATAAATAAATGAATAAATGAACGAAAGAGTTAACAAAAACGTCACCGAGCTAAGTACTTTGATAAAAGAACATTAGCTGCATGATTAAAGCATCCGAAATTTGAACTTGCCCGCTGTCAGTTAGCCTGAGAAAACAGCTGACATTGTGCCACGCCACCACTGGTTTCCCCGACGTTGGAGAAACTAGCGGAGAAATTCCATACCGATCACGCGTCACTACCCAGATCTAGGGAGTGCTTTTGATTGATTAAATCTGCTTCATCCAATCAGAAGCACTTCCCACATCTGTGTTGTGACACGTCATCAGTATGGACGTTCTTCACCCCAAGTCATTTCTTGGGGAAACCAGTGGTCGCGTTGCGAAATGTCGGCTGTTTCCTCAAACTACTCAAAAAGTTAAAATGTTGGATTTTCTATTACTATACCTGCAATGAGTTGAAGATAGTAAAGATGTACTGAAATACGAGTCCAGCATCTGTGACACTTAGGACACCAAACACCCAGGTCAGTCCCAGAAGAGGAAACAAAACTACGCATGCTTTAACTCCTTGTCGAACTCTTTCCAGATGAGATGTTTTGTCGGATTGCATTCTTAGAATCTCATGAACCACTCGAGCAAGTAAAACTGAGTTTATCTGCGTGGAAACAATGCATGAGAATAAGATATTTTTTGATGGTAGAAACTTAAGACCCTGTTTCTTTTTTTCTCTCAGATCTTGACAATAATTTTCAATAAATAAATAAATGAATGAGAACATAAAATATTATCTATATTTAATCGATCAACGCTCGGACGCATGAAACACCTGAAGCACATCACACGTTGCATGACGTCACAGCCTCCCCTCCACCGCAGCGCTCAATCCCAGATGTGTTTATTACCCGCAAATGAATGAATGAATGAAATGCCGTGAATGAGAGGACAATAAACGTGTCCTCTTTACTTTATGTGCTAACATGTTAGCAGTAAGCTCTGACGTCAGCATACAAGGGCGGCACTGGCAGCCACTATCAGTCCATTTATGGGCTTACTGTAACCCACCAAGCCTATGATATGAAAGGTAGCTAAATATTCTGCCTTTTTTCTATTTGAATCGTTTATAATTTCAGTTTTATGTCTTATATTTTCATGGCAAATATTTGCTGATTATATTAATTTTTAATCAGTTACAGATGAGCTTCAGTATTCTGTAAGCAATCATTTTTAAGCTTGTTCTCTTATACTTACTTATTCACTTATGGAACATGTTTACTTTCTTATTCTTACCGTGCAAACTAAGAGAACAGGCGCAACAAACGTCCAGATAAGGTTATTTTTGAAGGAAACCCAGCAACTAAAAATAATATACCAAATTAAGGTGTTACTATGAAAGGATTGCTTGTTAAAACTTGACGGTTAAAATTGGAAATGTTGAAAAAAAATTACGAAGACTCATTTTTCAATTCTTTGAAAACCGATTGTTTAGGCCTGTAACATGAACGTGCTTATAACAATTCCTCTGAAAACGGCAGTTTGGGCAAATTTCATAAGCAACTTTGTAAAAAATAAAAAAATAAATAAAAAATGATAATAAAAAAAAAAATAAAGAGATTCTTGAAACCTCCAAGTTTTTCTTGCTCCGTTTTGTTCGGTAGTATTAAGATCTGGCTTGTTTACTTACAAATGATCTTGAACATAGCTTTCTATCCCGCCATCTTGAATGGAAGCAATCACGATTGATAAAACCACAAGCAAAAGGGAGACGCCTAAGGTTTGATTGAAAACGAAAGAGAGAAAAATGACAATTTAGGCTCAGTTGGGTTACGTCAACTACGTCAGCGTAGCACCCTTATGAGAACTGTGGTGTGGTACAAGTTCCTCTGAATAGCAACTCTCATTTGCAAGTCCTTGTAAGGGACGGACCATTAGAAAACTTATTGGGGGTGGGGGGGCGGTGCGAAGTACGAAAAATATATTCGCGCAAGGGAAAATTAGATGAAAAAAAATTCATACAGCGGAATTTGATAACTCCTGAAGCTTGAAAATTCCCCCAATAACTTTTCTAATGGTCCGTCCCTAAGTACGTAGGGAAAGTAAGATAAACCAGGAATCAATTAACAAAATGCTTTTGATCCCGGAAGGGACTGACAAGTCAGGACCTCTTGACTAGATCTACCAACGGGCCATTTTCTGTAGTAGGCTTTTGCTTTAATACTTACCCCAAGCCACTCCATAGAATAAACGCAATCTGATGACCGTATTGAACACTTTGACAACCATCAGATACAGGTAAACACCCTCAAATAACATCCAAGCAAATCCCACCAGATAGAAGTAATGAATCATGGCTGCTACAAACACACACAGTTCCTATAAAGAAACGGGATTCACCGTCATCACATCGCCCATAACGGCACGCTTTTTATCACCCCCTGCCCCATCCCACAAAAAATATATAAATAAAAGGAAAAAGAAAAAAAAATTTGATGCAATGCAGACAAACCAAAGATACTAAAGAGAACTAAAGAGCAATCAACCACTGAACCACAAGTCCGTAAAGGCAGTGTCGTGTGTCTGTCAGTAACACTTCTCTAGATCCCATGTAACCTTAGACCCATACCTGTTTCCTATAATAATCATAGCAGCCGAAAAAATCTATTAAGGACAATTTTTATTTCCTTAAAAAGTGAAAGTATAAACTTGACTGCCATGTTTGCGAAATATCATACAGGAGTTGAACCACCGTTAAACGTCAGTGCAATCAGACTCCATTCCTCCCAAATTATCCTTTTAGGATGGCAAAGGGGTTTTCCGTGACGCGTGATCGAACCCAATTGACCACTCCAGAAATACCATAACATACCATAATGCTATTTGTTTGTCACCCCAAAATTTTGGATAAGCATTGTCTTCAGTTTCTCTTGGGAGTTAAAATGGCCCCAAGAAAAACTGAGAACAATGCTTAAGCAAAACTTTGGGGTGACAAACAAAGAGCATTATGGTATGTTATGGTATTTTTCTTGAGCGGTCAATTAAATCGACCGCGTAAGGCGTGATTTACTATTTTTACAACGCGTGACGCGTGATCTTCCTTTGAAATTTCTGCGATGGTTGATATCATTTGAAACTAGAAGAAGACTGAGAGACATACAAAGTATATAGTTATGACACCAACTTCTTGCACTTTTTTCTCGTTCCTCTACCTTTGATTTCCTCAGTCACATGACAATAGGATAGGCTCCTGATACTTGTTAATGTCGTTAATATTTTATTTTATTACTCTGTAATGCGCGATAGGTATTCCCCTCCCCTACCCCACCCTTTGCCACCCTTTCCATTTAGCGCATTTGCGTAAAACCGAGGTCACTGGAATACGCCATCTAATAAAATTGCGTTATTTAAGACTCAACTCGTTTACATCCAACGGTCTTTCATTTTTGATTTTTGTTTTTAAATGTTTTGTCAATCAATTTATCACCCAAGCCACAAAATGCTCATTATTTCTTCATCTTTCAGATTAACCAGGGGCACCCAACGACGGTTTTCTCCTAAATGCATTGAAAGCACTTTTCAGGCTATCCAGAGTACTTTTAGACCTTTAGAAATACATTCTAATCGGCACTTTAAAATTTATATCTGTTCGGTCATCCCAGGGCAACTTGAATCTTTTCGAAATTACAAGGGCTTCAGTATTATCTTCCCGAAAATTTGAGATGAGAGAAGAAGAGAGAATTTTTCCGATTTCTCTTTCCATCGCATTTTCGAATCCGAAATTTTTTCGGTTTCCTTTTTCTGCGAAAAATAGCTTAATCTGGTGGGTAAAATGCCAAAAATTAAACTTCAAAAAATCGAAGGGAATTTATTGGATAAGCTTTGAAATTGTAGTACATGAATGGAACGGTCATCTAGAAATTCTTAGTCTTCCACAAGGTATAGAGAATTCTAGGAAATTTGTGCTTCTACGAACAGATATTTTACAGAAAACTGTCGTTGGGTGCCTCTGATTAACTAACATCTTTAGCTTACCATAACTTCTGTGGCCTCAATTCCAGCAAGAAACGTAATTTGTGCTATCGCTATGGCGACCACAAGGTTTAAGTGGATTTGAGTTTGGTCTTCTTTCAAATCCCTGAACGAGGCAAAAAATAATTGAACACCGTTGACATGTTATCTTTTTCAAAGCGGGAAAATCCCATGTTAAGGTGCTTCTTAATTTTAAAATCATAAATGAAAGTCTGACGAGCTAATCCAGAGCCTAAATGCGCTACGAGGGGTTGTGAAGAGGGCGGCTGACTCCCCCTCCCCCTCCCTTGTGGTTTTGTTATTGTCATAATTTTGCATTTACTAAGTATTAAGATTCAATGCAAATAGTTTAGAAACAAAGCACGTCTTAATATGCTATGGTTAAACATTTGGTGCTGAAAAATCTGTTTAAAGCGCTTTTTGGACGATAGACTTCTTACATTCCCATGTTTTTCTGTTGAACGTCTAGTCTGTTCGAGCGCTTACTGTTTGTTGCAGGCGACAATCTTGTTTTCACTCTTTCCCAGCCGCGTTATGCTCGGTGCGTTTGAAACCAAGATGCGTGAATTGAAAACGCTTACCTCGACCTTGATTATTCCGGATATCACAAAACCAAATGTACATGTCTGAGCTCTTTTATAACGGTATATTATTTGTAACTCACATGAGGACGCAATATGCAACAGCGCTGAGTGCTTCTCCGACGAGCGACAGAGCACACCCAACGTAAGTAATGACTTTCAATGCCACCTTATGATCCCCGGGAACCTGCTGGAAAGATAGTTTTAAAATTGTTTGTAAATACGCTAAATCAATGAAGACAAATATTGGAAAGAGTCAGGGCCCCTTATTATTTTGCAAAGAAGTACTCTAAATGTCGAAAATAGGCATAGCCTCCTTATTACTCGAGTCATCAAGACTATAAATGACAATGTGAAAAAGGATTCTTGGCGCCACGATTGTAGATGTTCCCCTTATTTATTTTAACATTCATGGTACAGTAAAAACCCGCTAGTAAGAACCCGTATTTTCCCAATTTAGCCCAAACAGGTTCTTACATAAATGGTATAATTAGCACAAATTTAGGCTATTTGAGGTTCTTAAATAAGTTCTTATTTTCTGAAGAAAAAATACATTGAAACGATTAGAGGCATTCAGTTTATTCTTTATATCAAATCTGCACATCAAATTAAAATTTATGTAAAAATCAATTTAAGAAGAAAAACTGAAGCATTGACAACATGAATTTTAACCTGAATGTAATTTTACATGTATTGTAATCGGGCCTTGTCTCAGCTCCAACAGTTATAAACTCTTATACAATAGTATCGTAAAATAGCAGTTTGTAGCTCAACTATAGATTGAATTTTTGGAATTTATGGAAGATATCTATATTTTCACATCCTCCTCTCTGAAAGTCTGCGATAAGTCAGACAGAGTATAGATATAAATCGCAAGTACATCTGATCTAGAGCTGGAGCGATAAATCTTGCGATATATCAACCATGGAAGCAAGCTCAACAACAACATAGCAGTGTATGGAAATTGGCAGAATTATTTATAGAACCTGTTTCACATTTTAGGCTTAACAGGTTCTTGATAGAGGGAGCCTAACTAGCAAATTTTAGCCTAAAAGGTTATTAAAATCTCGGTTCTTACTCGAGCCGAGTTTATAAAATCAGGAGCATAGCCAGGAAAAAATAAGGACTAAGACAATATCCAAGTTGAGGATGATCAAGAATTCCCCGCCTGGCTATTAAGGGTCTTAATGATGACTACGTTTAAACAAAACACTGGGACCAAACCTTATTTGACAAAAATTCTTCGAAGAGCCCTAAAGGCCATCTAGATAGAGAGATCAAGGTATCAATTTTTTTTGGGGGGGGGGGGGAAAGGGGGGGTATTTAAATGCTACTTTAGAGGCTCTGGTTTCTAGTATGCGGCTAATTAATGTGTTTTCTTTGCGGTTTGTTTCTATAGAAAGGCCTTAGATAACAACGGCTTAAACGAGGTTTGGCTGACAGCAGTTTCTTGAAAACAAGGGTTTGTTGGGGTGCTCAGTCTCGCAGCCTCAGAAAAAACCTGGTCTCGGCCGTTCTTATTTAAGGATTTTCTTGTCTAAACAACGAAGTTGCTTACTACTAGCATCCTTTCGCTCAGTGTAGAACCTCGAGCGGGTCCGCAGGGATTTCGTTGTGGACGTAGTCTCAGATGCAAGGCCATTCAGCCTGTTAGAGCCCGTCGATCAACGGCACCAGGTCTTCAACCTGCAGAGAGCGCTAAAGCTGCGCTCGCACGACAGCTTCCGACTGTTGATATAACGCTGCATTTTGATAGATTTTTCACACTCAGGCAAGAGAAGAAAGAAGACGCGAGGAATGGCGCAAACGCATTAAAACGAGGCAATTTTTTTGGGAACCGCTGCCTGGTTAGCATGAACTTTTGCTTAATTTTTCTCATCTGTAATTCAGGCCACTGCCTGATTCGCATTATCATTAAACATAAAACCAAGTCGCAGCAGCGCTAACATTTTTTTATTTATTTAACTGTTGTGAATTTATTTGCTGCTAGTTTCTTTCTTTCTCCTTCAAAGAAAAAACTTACTTTCCCCGAAAAAAAAAATGACTGAGGCAAGTGCCTCGATCGGTTTGCATCATACTGGCTAGGTACAAGCTGCTTCAACTAACCTCATTGTCTGCTCCCATAAGAACAGCAGTGTTTGCGTGGGGTTTACAGGTGCATGTGATTTCCGTTTTGTTTCTATTGACAACTGAACATCCTTTGCGTGACCAAGAACCGTTGAAATTTGATCTGCAATGATATAGTTCCTGAGTATGACTCTGCTTAATTAATAAAAGACCTTAAAGGGCAAGGCCAATTTTAAAGGGCAGCATTTTATCAACCCTAGTCGATAGCGAGATATTTCTTGTCTACTCTACTTGAATGACTATGAATCAATTCATACTAATAACCCCTGATGCTGGTAAGTCCTTTTAGTTGCTTACTGAAAATTCTGTCACACTTACCGCTTGGCAGTAAAATCCCAAAAGACACAATGCACCTCCAATACCTTAAGAAAAGGCATTTAAAATTTCAGGTTAAAAACTAACAAAAATCAAAGAAAAGTGAATGACTCGTCGGCGTCGTAAATGTTTTTAAACTTGCTGCTAAAAACACGTAAGAAAGTAAGTGCCTAATTTCACAACGTCTTCAGGGATTATAACGTGGAGACTTCAGCGTTGTTTTAATCCATTATCTGAGTTTTCTTTGATTCCAAAGTGTTGCAGGGTTATAAAGAAAAAGCAAGAAAATCCTAAAACAGTGGAGAGATGTTAGCATGTTCTTTTTTATAGGAAGTGTTTTTCATCACAGTTATAAATTAACTTACAATCAAGTGGACTTACCCCTTGATAAAGTAATATAACTGTTACGTTTTTCTGAAGGACGTCGTCCTGGGGCCTGGGATCTACTGTGCTGCCTATTATATTACTTAGCGTGAACTTCATGATAGTTTCACTGTTAGAAAAAAAATTGTAAATAAATAAATAAATAAACAAAGAGAAACGAATGATTACGATATTGTAAAAATCCCTCTGGAAAATTCCAGTGTAATGACGTCTTTTAAAAGCAGCAGCTGAAAAAATCAGGTTACATACGACTTATCCCTTTAAGTTTCGTTGCTCCATTTTTCTTCGTGAAAGTGAGTGATAACCAGTTTGTAAGGAGTTAGAGCAAAATATTTTTTTCATTAATTTCTCTTAAATCCTTTTGTCACTTCCAGTGAGACATTTCGCATTGCTTATTTTGATTTGAACGGACGCGCTGCGATCTCTTGGAGGGAGAAATTATGACATCTCCTTTCGAGGAAGAAATGGACGCCACGTTTCAAATTTCGGTAGTCAGTGTCTGTTTAGTCCAAGAAAGCGGCCCTGTTGGAATATTTAAGGATTTTAAAATCCAGTTCCCCATCAGACTTGTCGCCGAGATCATTTTCTCCTCCTTCGAAAAAAAGACTGAAACAAAAACATTAGCGGGGAGAAGCAGGGAAATATTTTGTGTGCTTTCTTCAAAGCAAAGGTTTGCGATGAGAACAAAAATAAAACCTCTGGACCCAGGATACCGCAAGGAATTTTCTGTTGGTTGAAGGCAAAAATTCTTTTGTACCGAGCATAATTTTCAATGCGCTTCGTTGGCAAGCGAAGTTGCTGTCAACAACAACAACAACAACAAAATCAGCCTTAGGAAAAGTTTTATTATTTTAAGTTTTATTTTATTTTCACGGCGAAAAAAGCTTTTAGCAAGAGAAGAAAATTTCTATGCTTTACACTCTGTCCATCATAAATAGCAGTTCTGGTCAATCGGTCACATATCAATGAGAAATCGCAACTTGCTCAGTCAACATGCGACAACAGCTAAATTATTCAGAAGTATTTCGATATTCGTTCGCCGACATAGGATAACTTAAAAGCGGTTTAATGAAGGTATTTCATGTACACAAAAGACCAAATTGTTAAACCATACCTATATTATCTGCAAAACTGCTGAAACAACCTCGATCTTGAATGTAAATAACAACGGTACAAATACTTGTAGCAACTGAAATTAGCACCCACCACGCCACAAAGCGGAGAATCACGTACACTGTGCTGTAAACATATACATGTTTTTAAAAAAGTGGCCAAAATGATACTGTAACGAGAGGAAATTCACTGCGTCAAGCGGCTTTTCGGCCTGTCGAACCAAATTGGCGGGAAAGTCAAACTAGGAAAACAACGGAACTAAGGGAAAGTTCATTTAATATGACAAGGGGGTGGGGGATGAAGATATTGAGGGGGGGCTCCGAAAATTTTAGACACCCGAAGGGGGGGCTCTGAAAAAATTGTTGCGCTAGGAGGGGGGGCTCCGAAAATTTGTATACTTCAAAACCAACACATGACATCATCATACAGATCGGATGGTTTTCAACTCAACAATTTAATAACCTGTGCAACTCAGCTATATCACGTGGTTTACAGATATAACAAATGTAGTCTCAGTAATTATTACACTCTTGTTCATCCCAAAAATGCTTTAGAAAATTGTATCACAACTGTATCTCAAGTTTGTCATAGTATAAACCATTGAAGACAATAACGGTAAATATATTTAATACAGTCTAGCGATCTTTTTTCAGGGGAGCAAAGGAATTGAAGGAGGAGGGGGGGGCTCTGAAATTTTTTCGACTACCAAGGAGGGGCTCCTAAAAATTGAACCGCTGGCGAGGGGGCTGCTAAAATTTCAAGCTTCGAGTTTCAATATCTTCATTCCCCCCTTGTCATATTAAATGAACTTTCCCTAAAGCTCTTCGCAAGGGCGCGAGAATTAGCAAATAGTGATCTGCTAATGGAAGTTATTGACGGGGGAAACTGCAATTCGGTAGAGTGACTGGCTCGCTGCTGGCACTCGTTACTACTGCCAGAGGTACAGGGTCTAATTTCCACGTCCCAAGGTACGGAGGTTGGACAAGAACTGAGACTTCACTGTAATGCTGCAACTTCTTGTAGAGTAAACCTCGTAGATAGTACTTCACATGTAATTGCAGGTAATCGCAGGCTAGGCAATCAATTTACAACAGTTTCACCGGAAAAAATAACAGATTCCCAATATTGGATATTTTAGGGTATTTAAAAATACCCACAAAAATCCCAAATTTGGCAAAGTGAGACAAGTCCCAACCAGGGAATTCCCAACCAAGTTCCCTGGTTGGGACTGACTCTTCCAAATTTGGGATTTTTGTGGGTATTCTCTAAATACCCTAAAATATCCAAAAATGGGAATCTTTTATTTTTTCCTGTGTTTAAGCACTACCTTAAACAGTCTACTGTAAACACAGGAGTTCGATTATCACAAAGGAACACAAAAACCTATTCAAAAATACACGTGCTAGCTGATCAACGCGTTACAATTCGATTGGTTAAAAGACTTTTCCTTTAAGGTGAAAGTACAATACTTCCTATTTCGGTTCCTGGACTTTTAGAAAAACACATGTTGTAAATCATGCTGAATAAATACAGCACAACAGTTGTTCTTTTGAAATGTAAAATAGTTCTCGTCTAACAAAGAGACAGGTGAAGTGGCCATTGAAATTACATGTCAGGTGTTCCAATATTTGTACACATGTCACTACCTGCTATTTTGCATTTCAATAATACACACATTTCAGCTGCGGAATTTTGAAAGACACAAAAGAGGTAAAACTAGATTTGCTGAGTAGTGCAGAATTGCTACAATAACGCTCTGGTGAAACTGAGTTCCTTTCTAAAGATAACATTGAAATATCGGCTGTGACAATACCCAAACTGCGTGATGAAGACGGATTTTTAATTTCTTCGTGCTACCTTCGCTGTGGCTAAAGATTTTCACGAACCACAAAATTCTAGAGCGACCGCAATGCATTGTGGAAAGTGACAAAGAGTCTTTACGCGTCTCTCAACCCTTAACGTATTTATTATATTCCTTTTTAGAGTTTCTCAGCCCTCAAATATATGTAAGAGATGAAAAGGTTACCGGTAGTTTCGATGCAAAGTCTTCGCGATACAAGTCGTTTCAATACGAGTTTATTCAGTCGAGTTGTAAATAGTTTCAGGTACTTGGCTTAATGAACGAAGAATATTCACCCCAAATGTTATTTTTTGTTCACGCGCAAACTATACTTGAAGTTATTGGAATTTTTGCGCAATTTCACTGCTTGAGTTCTTATCGAAACGACTTTGTACCGGAACGACCGGTTACCGATGAAAAGCCCGGTAAACCGTACCCGTTTAATTCAATTCTTTTTTCATCAGGTATCCACTGCTTGATTTCATCATGAAAAAATGTGCATACGGTGACAGTGTCTGAGATAAGAATAAAGTGCAGGTCAAGAAAAAAAAATTAGTTTAATGGTTCAAGGGGAGGGTAAAAAGGGAGGTCCTCCTTATCATGGTTCCGCTACCATTACAAATATATTTCGCCCAGTTATCATTATTTCGTGTATTTTTGAGAACGTGTAAATTAATTCTGAATAGTCCTGTGGGAAAGAGATAATAAAATAATATATTAAATCATTAGCCATTTAAAGTGCAAGTATTCAAAATTAACTAGCGACTCCGCTTTTACCTTGTCCTTTTAAGTTTTCCGAAGGAATAATAATGCTCTCTGTTCCATTGCTTGTAGAACAAGTGAATGGGTTCGTATGGTTTTCCAAGACCCTCTGAATCTCCATTACTACAAAACCAATTTGAAAGCAATAACCATGACTGCAACAAAAAGCTTTCCTAGTGAAACATGTCTGTGAAATAAAATTACAATATTCGAAAGATGTCATATTGCAATTTTACTGACTTTTCTTGGCAAAAACATTTATAGCAAGCAAATTTTTAAAGCTACTAGTGTGTCCTACGAGTCGTCAGATTGTGGCACTGAAAATCAGGCGGCAACAAATAAAGATAAAGTCGGGCCCTAAAGACCAGCTGAATTTATTTCCTGGTAGTATAATTTAGCTTCTAGTATAGGCCACTCCTGTAAATAGCTATCTAGTTAATATGTCCTCACATATTCATGGACAAATTAACCACCGGGCTATAAATACTGCAGAGAGTAAATAAAGGCCTATTATTGTTCCTTTTTTTCTTGTGTCAAGATCTAACGTAAGATCGTGAATATGAAGCTGGATGTAAATTTATGAGTATTCAATTAAAAATGACAAAAAACTGACTCATCAAACAGAGCACCAAACTCACCAAATAAATTTTGCTGAATCCTGACTGTGTTGTTATTCGCTGTGCAATGAATCTTGCCCTATTTAATTGCAAATAATTCGAGTTCGTGAATGGCTTCCAGTATATTAATTTCATTTCGCCGACAATTGCTGATCAAATCGATTGCTTTCTGTGAAATCGAGTGAAAATGAAAATGGTTTAAATCTGGAAGACATATACTTCAAGAGGAATCATTCTACTTTATCATGAATGTAGGTTTATGGTAAACCTTATCAAATACATGTATCTGTCCAGTGAATTAACGCATATCGGTCACTTTCTGTTAGAATAATACCGAATATATTATTGATCAGTTATTAACAATTTTAAATATTATTTCATTGTTAAAAACTCATCTCGAAAAATGGAGGTAAAATATTTGGATGCGTGCGTAACATATTTAGGCGACATAAATGAGTCAATGCAGGGGCACCCAACGAGAATATAGTTGAAAACCACTTAAACATAGCATTGTTAAACGTATTTTAGTATTTAAACGGTAGATATAGGCATATTTTTATCCCCTAACAATTTTTCATCTGTTCGGATTTCCTAGCTGAAAGTCTAGCGATCCGAAAGTTATAGGATCAAAACTTACCCTTTCGAAAATTTCAGCCAGAAACAAGGCTCCCGAAAATTATAGGTGACCTTTTTAGGGTAAAAGTCCGTTAAAAATGGGCAATTATACCATTTTGCAGATGTTCGAAAATCCTAGGGGAGGCAGGCAATCAAGAAGTTTTACAGCAAATGTTCCGAAAATTCTAGATCTCAGATCGTCTTCCGAACAGATATTCTCCGAAAATTGACGTTGGGTACCCTTGTCAATGTTTAAGGGCGTTGTGTCAAGGAATTTATCAAAATTCAATCAGTCAGGGAGCTGCCACTAAATTGAGGGAAACATAAAAATAACCACTCAAAACATATAAGATAGATAAATAGGAACTTTATTTTAACACGATACGAAGATCAGCATTGCAGGTGGGGTCGTGCATACAATAGTTACGAGAGAAAAAAAAAGAATTATTAAAACAAATATACAATTAAAAATTGAAAACTAATTGACCAGGAAATATTTGCGTTCGACGAAGGAGAACGCTTACTATTTGTGTACCGTACATGAAGTAGAAACCGTTCTGTATTCCATGCGATCACTCGGCACGGTTTGGACGCCATCTTGGACCGGCCTGGCACATTTTGCCTCGATCTTATGTGTTCACTTTTTCTCACCCGGGAGCTGGTATCCATTTTGTGACACTCGTTCACAGATGAAACGTTGGCGATTTTCTGTTTACTACAGGTTTGTCTATAGTTTTTCTCGCAGTTTTCAATTAAGTTTTTTTACTAATAGGAAAATTTTCATTCGAAGATAATGGGATATGTAGATGTTATGTTAACAATGCGTTCTGCACACTGTATTTGTTTTATGGATTCAAGCAAGATCAGCTTAGATCGACCATATTTAATTCTATTACAAATTACATCTTTTCGCTTTTAAAAGATGTTTACATCGTTGTATTTGCTTTTGTTTGTCACCATTTTTGAAAGATATACAAGAAGTTGAACAGCGAAACGTTCACGTTTTCATCTCGCTAATTCCCCGTGCGTTGAATTGAGAGTCGTGTTAGCCTAGTGTCCGGGTTTAAAGTGATACTCGACGCTTAAACTTTTCAGATAACTTTCATTTTACCGTATCCCAATTTTTAGCCAATTATATTGACCACTCTAGAGTGCAAAGGAATATCCTGAGGGTCACATGTACTTTACTTAGAGGTTTAGCCAAGTAAATGTAAAAAGTACAGTACGCTCTTGCATTTTTGAGGAAAAATGAAATAGTAACGAATTATTAAGTGGGAGGATAAACAATAACACTGATAAAGACAGCTACTGATATTCGTATTGATAAAAGTGTTTGATTTTGATTTCTCAATATGCCAAGCCCATCAGGTTTTGCACCCCCTTCCCACTACCTCTCACTACCCACCACCTTAACGCCCCTCTTCATCGAACGCACTCCCGTAATTTGCAATCATCACTAGTTGTACCCAATATCTCTGCTTTTAGTTGTAGCAAAAATAGGTTCAAAATTCATTTTGTGTCTTTTATCGGAAGCAACGCTTGGGAAACATAATTTCCCCCGCAGGGATTTCGCCCATAAGGCGAAATTCCCTAGGAGGCACTCGACTAGTAACTCGCGCGTATATTAAAGGAAGTACTTACAGTTGAAATATACAGTCAGTATGCCAGAAAAAACCTCGATTTGCTCGAACAGCCAGGGGCCGTGAGGAATCGGTAGGTAATGATGATGTTTCTATTGTTTGCGCCCGCAAGTACGAAATGGTTAGGATGACGTAAAGACAGAAAATCCCGAAGGGACCGCTTAGTCAGATTTTGTGACATTTATTGTGCAGTCATACTTGGATTCTCTTTTGCGCTACGTGTTATCAGTGACATTCTGTGGAGCAGTTGTTTTGAAAGTTATGGACCAAAAGACACTCGTTAAGCGCAGATGAAGTTATAAGTTGCGTATAACTGTGTATATATAAACCCTTGGAGATCAGAATTTGCGAGACACAAATCTTTGATTGGAAACCTTGCCAGACACTGTCTCTCTCTTTGACCGGAATAAGACTCAGCCCCAAACAAGCAAGACGAGTGAACAACGGCTAGCTTCTCACTAGCAGAACGATGGACGATTACAAAAATTCGCCGACAATCAAATTCTGTGTTGACTTATTCCCTGCTCACAAATGTCCTTCCGCTATAAAGTTTCAAATAAGACTAGACTGCACGAGCGTGAATTGATCTATTCAAACGTCCTTTTAATTTCTAAGGCTAACTTTCCGGCAAATAAAATGAACTGAATGTAAAAAGTGAAGGAGAAATAGCGAAAAATTCAACTTTTAATTAAATATTTTCTTATGGTTTAGAATAAACTATTCTCGAAACTGAGAATGTTTTGATCAAAGCTGATATGTGTAAATCGAACTGAAACCCCCGGCTGTCTGACAGTAGATGGAACCTTGCGTTTCCTGTATTTACCTCACCTATTGTATGGAATGTGTGTGAAAATCTTCATTATGAATCGGTATATTTCAAAGAGCTAAACAACGAGCAAGAACAGGGGCGGATCTAGGGGGAGGGTGCAGGGGTGTGCCCCCCCATGAGATGACCTGCGGTTTTCTAATACAACTGGTATTCTGCAAAAGAAACAAAAAAACTATGTGGTTTATTGGTGTTGAAGTAGAGCAAGAGACGAGTGCACTCCCTCCTAAAAAAAATCGACAATATACGGAGCGGGGGCAGCTGTAGAGTCAACTATTTACAGCTCTCTTGCCCAAGCAAGACATAAGACACGTACACCATGCATTCATTATCATCTTCGAGACAATACACACAGGTTGTTGTTATGGCCATACACCTCGCCTTGCCCGCTCTCCACTTCATGGCACCTCTTTCGGATGGTTTGTTTTTCTCCCTTCTCACCCCATCACAGCCCATACTTTCTCGGGCCTGTATACTTTATTCGGAAGAGGCCGCCAGATTTATCCATCACTTAGCATAGGAGCGCGGGCAAGATTTATGTAAATAGGATACTATTACTAGTTTATTTGTCTGACACGAAGCTGTGATTTTGACATTTACAATTAATTTCTCAAGTTCCATGGGGAATAAGGATGTGTATTATTAGCATAAACTAGACAGCCGTGACACAGCCCCTTTGCTAACCTAGGCGTCAAGTTAGGGCCTGTTTACAGGGAGGCGGGGGACCCCAGGTATGTGAGGTAACCCGCTTAGGTGGGGTAGCCGCCCTGTCCAAAGAATCTCTTATTATAATTTGATCACGTTTACATGATAGGTGGGATGAGCCGCCGCAATTGTTACCAGGGGTATCCAACGAGTAATTTCGGTAAATATCTTTTCGGAAGGAAGGTCCGTTAGAATTTTCGAATATTCGGCGACTTTCGATTTTCGATTTCTGAACCATTTTCTGAAACAGTTTTCCTAGATATTTCGCATTTTCTGACATATTTCCAAGATGTTTAGTTACGTTTTTGAAACCGCACTGAAGAGGGCTAGAATTTTCGCAAAAAAAGGCCTGAACATTGAAAACGGCTGATGTTACCTCGTCTACCTGGGGTCCCCCACCTCCATGTAAACAGGCCATTAGTTTTTTGCAATAAACATATTTATTTAGGCTTTCACCTGTAAGGAATCTTCGTTGCTAGCATTGAGAGCCCCAAGCGATGAAACGCATAGACATAATGGAGATACCTACAAAGTAATGTATTGTTGGTTTTCACATGACGTCACTAAAATTTAAACTAAAAAACTATCGATCCTACCGAGATTTTACTTTCACGATGCATTAGAGCAGCAGAAAACTAATTTTCATACAAATTTTTGCTTCAAAAGAAGTTCTTGGTTTTGTGATAGAGTACGCTTGAATTTATAAGCTTTTGCGTGACGCGGCATGACATGACGGCCAAGAGAGCTGTCATGTAGGTTAAAAAAATGACTTGTATCAGGAAATTTTGCTATCTAAACAGTTCATGTATTAGAAAAAGTATTACTTTAATGTTTGTGAGTTTCTCGAAGAATAAATTCACGCTTTTGTAGCAAAACTCGGTAACAGAAGTTTCTGTTGGTTTCCGTCCGCCATGTTGAAGATGATCCAGGTGAGCACCAGCATGGCGTCTCCATACAAATCTCTATAAGTTTGGGTGAAATATTTCTTCCGATATCTCGTATACGAATTATTCCTATGACCTGAATCTAAAACAGTAAATATCCTCATTACATAGCCCCTTCGTCGACACTACAAAAAAAAAAAAAAAAAAAAAAAAAAAAAAAGCGAGAAATCATGCGTCTAGTAAAGCATGAGTAGGAGCAAGGACAACTAAAATCTGTCAAAAACGTCAAAGACCTGAACGTCTTCTACAGAGTGAACAATTAAAGGCGAAAAAAGTGTTAGCCTAGGAGTCATCAATCGACTCATTGGAAGTGACATCCGGCAGGTGTTTTCTTGCCTCTTCAAGACACTCTAATGCGCCGCCATATATAGCCTGGAGCCTGTACTGGATCAAGGACACCCGGAATCTTAAAATAAGTCCAAAGAAGAGCCTCACGTTTGGCCTTGGAGCAAAAGCGTGGAGAAATGAGCTATGAAGAACTCTGTCGTTCACTGAATCAATGGCTAACTCTGGAGATAATGCAGAGAATTCTATCCTTTAACTGGACTTTTTCGAACTTACCAAGAGTACCACTGATCGAACCAGAGCCAATCGACCTTAATAATTATGTAAGTCCTTGAAGGCGCTTTTTCTAGGGGCAAGGGATGAAAGATTGTGACAGGTGTAGTCGAGTTTTGCAAGTATCAGCCTTTCCACAAGCATTAAATCGATTCTTTGTTTATACTTTTTGGGTTTAAGGCCTTTAGCGTTTAGATTTAGCTTTGCTCTTTTATTTCGTAATGTCGTTTGCATAGAGGGTCAAACTCACCATCCCCTTTCTTAAGAGTTTTATTTTTAAAGCTGTTTTCTTACCTAATAAAATCAAGTATTTTAATATAGAAACAGTACACTGATCTTCCTTAGGGAGTGGGAGCGTTCCCTCCTCTCTCCCTCTTTCTGGAACAGGCTAGCTAGCGGTTAAAACACTTTACAAGCTATTCAGCAATTTACCATAACTCACCAACGCCGCGGACGTCGAAGGTCTTTGTGTTTTTTTTGACGGTAAATATTTTGTTGTCAACGAAAGCGTTGATGGTGTCGATAACGATGCTTTTGACTGTGGTGTTTCAGTTTTTGATGATAATAGCGATCCTAGTAATTTTACTGGTGATGTTGCTGTTGTTGATAAATATGTTGTTGTTGACGTTGATGACACTGATGATAGTTGTGTAGTTGTTGCCGTTTCTCTCGAAAGCGTCGTCGAAGCATCTGTGTAGACATGTCGAGACTGTCAATGACATTCAATATATTGCATGGTACAAACCACTGATCTCAAAAAGAATAGAATTGCGTTTACGGTGCTGATGACAACATGACAAAGGTCAATTTTTACAATGAGATTAAGTTTTCCCTAGTTTAGTACTCACAATATTTTTACTCTTAACTAGGTTACACATAAAAATCAAGAGAGGATAAAGGAGATAGAGAAGGCATCCCCCTTACACAGGCTATTCCATAGGTAATTCGTCTCGAGTTATTTTTAGAATCGGGATAAAGTTAGCTCGCGCGCTGCGTGGATGCTTCGTGGAGGTTTCGCATGACTAAACGCCGTGCAAAATATGTCTGGCGAAAGGCAATGAAAGCGTAAAGAGATCGAGAGCATTCCTGAATATTGGAGCGAAATGAATCGGTGCTCACCTGGGAAAAGGGAATCGCTCGACTCTTTGACAACCCATGAAATCAGTTTAACTTGAAATTGTCGTAACCCCAGTGCTTTAATAAAATGAGAAATTTCGCCGGTCTATTGAAACCGGTCGTTTGTACAATAAAGCAAGTAGCAAGTAATATTCATGTACATGTAATAAGTTTTACAAATTTGAATTTTATTGTAGTTTTTTTAAGTTGTTAAGCGCTGTTGATTGGTGAATGTAAATAACGCTCTAGAAGTTATTAAATTATTATTATTATTATTATTATTATTATAGGACACCAAGTGTTATTTTCGTTGAATAATAAAAGACTAATAAAAGAATAAATATCAAACCAGAAATTGCTCTCTTCAAACTGTAAATTATAAACGATCCTGAGAGAATATTCAGTGTGTTAAGGATTTCCCTGCTGTACTGTTAGCTCTATACAGGAGAGGAAGGGCGATTCTTTTTTAATTTCCGTTTCGATGACACAGCTTTAGCAGAAATCTCTCTTCAGTCGTTTTCGTCGACAAAACGAATAGCAATATTGCTTTCCGCGTCTTCCGCCATTTTTTTCTGCCTCAATTCGTGAAGGACGCGTGGCTCTGAGCTTGGGTCATCCACGCGGAACACATTCGCGCTATGTGATTGGCTGTTGTCTAATCCCCCTTGGGATCTGTGGTCTTAAAAAATAACTCGAGACGAATTACCTATGGAATAAGGTGTGTATGGAGGATCCCTTCTCTGTCCCCTTTATCCTCTCTTGATAAAAATCAGTTTTGGACAGTTTTGATCCGAATCACTGTTTCCTATTTTGAGAGTTTCAATCGACATTTTGTTAACTTGAATTTGGCCTTTGCAGTTGGCTATAAACCTGTTTCCAAAGCTCTTTAATCAGTTTTCGTCTATAAGTGTGGAATTATTTTTGGTACAGTAGGCAAAATTGTCTCGATTTCAACAACTAGTCGTGCTATGTTTTATCGGGTAATTTTTCGTTTGGCCGGAAGAAGGTGTTATGGATAAGTTTCGCAACCATGAGGGCTCCGTCTCCTCTTCAAAAATGCGGGAAATTTTTCTCAGTATAAACGACTTTTAAGATCTAATTGGGAGATAAATAGTATTACTAGTAGCTACACGCAAATAAATTATATAGCTAATCATAACTATAACAAAATTCTCAAATCTGATTGGCTATCATCTGCCTTGATTTCAGCCTTAATAGGACAGTTTAATTGGACAGTGCGCATCATGCCTAAGTAATTGGATAGTACGTGCCATCACCCGCGCGCTTAAATGGCTTTTTTTTTTCACTGCTAGCAAAAATCTTGGAATTTCTTGTGTTTTAATTTTAAAAAGAGCTTTATATATCACAAATTTTGTTTAAGTTATGATTAATTGGTAACAGAACCTTGTGTCGTCCAATTCGGTTTGTAATCATACTCGTGATTAAACAAATCGGACTCCCGCTACGGGGTCGTCCAATTTTGTTAATCACTCGTATGATTACAAACCGAATTGGACTCCACTCAGTCCTGTTACCATTACAATATTCGGCCACCTTCACCGGACAAGCTTGGTCACTTAAAAGATTGAATTATTTTTTCCTTAGCGAGAACATTACAGACCATCCCAGGTGTGTATGAAATCATCCTCTTGCACCCGTAAAATGAATCGGGTTTATAACACAAAAAAATATGATTTTTATATAAAGAAAAATAATAATAAGAAGAAAAAACTAAGGCGCTGGATTAGCGGTGCACGTGAGAGAAGTTAGGACAAGCAGGACACCTGTACGTCCTTACTCTCCAGTGGCCTTCTCTCTTATTTGGGGTACTTACACCAAAGGCTCAGAGTCACCTAACTATTTATTAAAAGTATTCTTCGCTTTATGGCTACTTTGAGGAAAATGTGGATTCTGCAAACAAATACGACGTCATAATAATGTCAAATTACGACATTGTGTCAATCAATTTATGCCAAGAGGTTGGAAATGATGAGCTAACTATTCTGACTGTGTAACTTTGGTGGCCGTATTATGTGATCGGTTTTTGACCACTTCCCCTCGGACCGCCGGTCGCCGGAAGCAAAAACCAGCCCAGTCTGAATGGATTAGGCGAACTAATCATTCTAGTGTATGCTTTATGCCTTCAGAGTGCTTTTTGCTGCGTTCTGTCATTTTCTTAAGCCATTTTCTTGCCATATTTTCTTAGGCCTATTTATTCATTTTCTCTTATCAAGTGCGTTATAAAGAAAGACGTGGTGCTGCGCATACTACAAGGAACGGGCAAATTAATAAGACCAATCATATCCCTTTTCGGCTGGGTAGAGTTCGTATTCTCTAACCATCTCATCTGCTCTGGGACCCAGTGACGCTGATAGCTCAAGTTGACATGTTGACAAGTTGACTGTACTGTCTTGCACGCTGGAAATAATTTTTTCAGGGTAAAAATACGTAGCTCTTTGCGTTGAAAGTTATATTCCACATGTGATTTCACGAATCGAATTTTACTAAGGACTGAAATACGGCTTTCGAACTCGATCGTCTTATTTCTTTTAGCAATGCTGTAGGGAAACAGCGGTTTGAAAAAGAACAAAATATTTAAGAAAATGGACTAAATATAATTATGTGATACTCACAGGAAAACAGGAATATCACAGATATAAACAGGAAGTTACGGCCTGTCATCTTGTTACCTTTGCAACAGCTAAAAGAAAATAATTTCAAAGTTTATATGACGAATTCTCATTTGTTAGAATTGAAAATTTTCCCAGTGTTTAACTTAGATGCTCAACATAATGTAAATTGACACAAGGAAAAATAGAGATGTCCTTTTAAAACAAGAAGTTGATTTTTTAGTCACGGCATAAATGCAGTTATGTGTCACGTATTACTCCAAACGAGGAAATAAGCCCATATTTTGCTGCACTGAGAAGTTAAGTGTGTACCTTGGATGTGAATTGACGAAATTGACGAAAGCCACAAGGACAGCGAGTCACTCTAGCCGAAAATGAACTGGAAACTAACCAAAATACTCAGGTTGAGCGCTGAAAATAGTGGTTGGGGTTAAGCACGGGCTATAATAATTAGGTTTTAACACTGAAATAGTCAAATCCTCTATCTCGGTAGAGGTGTTAGGGTTAGGACTTCGAAGCTTAAGATCCCGGGTTCATTATGCTTGCTTATGACACTTTCGATCTTCTTTTTTCTTAAAAATATTGAAGAGACTTAGAAAATCTTAAGTTTCAGACTTAGAAAAGATGGGTGACGCGCTGTCGCTGATGTGTTCTCAGTGGTGAGGTGCAGAGAATGCATGATATTACTGTGACTAGGATGCTCTCGGTGCACTAGCTTTGTATCTGGAAAGCGTTGTTATCTTCTTCTCATGTAAGTGCGCCCATTTTTTGGAATTTTTTAAACTTATAATTTACCAATAGATAATAGAGAACGAAAATTAAATAAAACTGCAAGAATTGCTAAAAGTAAAACAAATGAAAATAATAGGTATACGATGTTTTCTACAACTCGGGCTATACGTCAGTTTCCTTCCTCGCAGACTACCGTTATAAATAAGGCGAAAACATGTTTGAAGCTAAGAACCATAGCCTGAATTTTAAAAAACGAGCATATAACTCAAAAGGGTAATATCTCACTTGACTAAAAAGATAACTTAAAGGGGTACCATCTCACCTGACTGAAAAAACAGAGCATAACTGCACCGATCGAGAAGTCGTTTTGTTAACAATCGCAACAAAAATTTGTGCAATGACTTACCCGCCACGTAAGATTCCAAATACTGTGTTACCAGTTAAATTTGCAGTCAGCTTTCCATAAAGTCGAAACAGGTTCTCCGCAGTATTACCAATACACGATGAGCTGTAGATTAGCTCGAAATAGTATAACGAAAACGGGTCGATTTTTAACGCCTCTTAGTTTTAATGTGCTTCCCGTAAAATCCTCTTTTGCAGCACGCCATCTGCTAACTGTTCATAAAATTTCTTGGATCAGAGCAGGTGGAATATATCTGTTATGGCATCATATAAGTATGTATTTAACGGTGCAACGGTGAAACAGTGGTTTCAAACGACCAATCAATATCAAAGAATATCATATCACATTTAAATGCAAATTAGTCTAAGAAAAGAAATTTACCTTATTAGAAATTCTTGGCAAACGACTGACGTAGTGACATACACTAACTCTAGTTAGACAACTCGCCAAATAATTTTGAAGTTTTAAAAGACATTATTCTTCTTTTCAATGATACAGTGTGCAAAGGAGTACGATAAGACTATTAGGGGCTATTGGCATGATACAGGAATGACTTTCACTCGGAATGAGTTTCGTTCCAGAATTTGATTCACATGACAAAATGACTGGCTTAAGGTTGATTTCCACTGTCGCGTAATTTTTACGCGCGTAAATAAAATAGAGGCAATGTATGGACGGTCACGCGTAATCATGAACGTTGAGCGAGGTTCAAATTTTACGTTTACGCGTGACCTTTCATACATTGCCTCTATTTCATTCACGCATATAAATTTACGCACATGAAAAATACCCTACACCGGAAATCAACCGTAAGTGTACGAACGTAAATTTTACGCTCGTAACAAAGTAGAGGCAATGTATGGATCGACCGCGCGTAAACGTAAAAGTTGAGCGAGGTAACGCGTTCGTACTAAAGCTCAAGTTGAAGTAGTTTTTTTTAAAAAAGAATATTGGCTTCCTCCCCAATTTGCTTAATACCGGATCAGTGTGAAATTCTTACTGACGCAATTTCACAGACATTATACAAACATCGAAAAATAATTTTATTTAAAAGTGAAATTTCATTTTCGAGTTGTTGAGGGTTCAGAAAGTTGACATGATTAAAATAAGGTAAAAGCAAAAAAAAAAAAGAAATTTCTCGGCTTAATGTTTGTCGGTGACATTCGAAAACATGTTGGGAACAATGTCAAAATAAAGCATTTTCAGTTGCCATTGACGTTAAAGAAAGTTTGTAAATTGTTTGTTTAATTCTTGTTGTTATTTGGCGAATTTTCTCTCACCACCTCCAGCCAATAATCTCTTATTTGAGAGCCTAAAAATTTTCTATTGTCGTAATTTACTAACTTAGACGAGCAAAGTATTTTTTTGCGCTATGGCTAAACATGTCACTAATTAAAATTCTTTTTTAAGCTCTAAACCTCAATTGTCTCTTTTAAATATCATGTCGCTTGCGGTTTGTCACCGTTCGGAAAGATTGCCTAGTCTTAATGAAACAACCCATTAAGTTAACAACTTTTTACATAGAGTTATGATTGACAACCAAAAGGCAAAATGGTGTTGGTGAAAAGACTGAATAGGTAATTCAAGTCAAATACTTAATAAGCGAAACAGTTTATCGTATTTTTTTAAACTGGTGACTGTTGCTTAATATACTTTCCGCCTTTATGTGCCCTAAGCCTATCGCAATCATTTCCTTTTGCGTGGCTCTTATTAGTAATTTGTTGAACAGTTTAAATGTTGTAAAATATTCCTTTTTATCCAGTATGGGTAAATTCAGTTTTCAGGATTGTACGTGTTACCTATCCTGTATACTTCCAGTTAATTACTGACTGATTGATAGCGAGTGGGACATGTGTGATGAATGAGACGCATCCTTTAATTCATCTGCATATTTTACAAGTCAATTTGTTGTGAAACATGTTCTGTATACTAAACAGGGCTAAACTGAAGTTTTTTTCTGATCAATTTCAATAAGAAATACAGAGAAGAAATATTCAATCAGCATTTTTCGATTTTTTTTTTCTGTCAAAGAAGTGCAAAAAAACGGACGTCGTGAGGGCGCTAAAGCTTTAAAACGTTCAAATTCTAAAACAAATAGCCAAATAGGGTGTCTTGCTATCAACATGAACTAGATAAAAATTGAGGCGCTATATATATGCCAGTAGTTATACTCCCCACTTAAGAGGAGCAGAATCGAAATATACATGTAACGAGGAAGCTACCGCCAGTGATTCGATTCAGTCAAAGCCTTTTCTTCCTCAGACGATTACAAATGGGATCGGTGATCCCATGTGGCTGACGCCTTGAGAGTGATAGCTGTTCTTGGCTACTTCCAAATGTGTTAATCTTGGTGACGTAATTAAAAAAAATCCTTTTAGGTCTTTTTTTATAAATTTTCTGTTTTGTGTTGGAAATTTTTTTGAAAATTTCGATCATTTGTATCACTTTTTATTACCAAAAAGTCTTTGAAACTTTTTTAAATATGATTTCAACCACTGGTCATCGATTTAACCAGTCGACATCAGCTTTTTTAAGTTGTCTGTTATTTCAGGATTGAAGACTAAATTTCTTCATAACTTTGTCAAAGTGTTTTCGAACCATGATGATTCTCTTTTTCCAAAAAAAGGCTCTTTTTGATAGCCAATTATTGGCGCACGAGAAATCACTCACTTATTGCTGAAACAAAAATAGAATATCAGTAACGCCTAATGATGCAGTTTCTCGCCGCCAACGGGCAAACATGAAAAGCTAAATTACAGCTAACTTACTAAAGCATTGAATTGAGGAGGTTTCGATTTCCTAGCTCTTACTTTCTAAAGCAACTTAACTTCCACCCTATGATGTCTATTAAAATTGTAATGACCTTGCCGGAGGGTTTAACAAAAGAAAAAGAGAAAAAAACTAATAACCAATCAACTACGAACTACTTACTAGTTTTTACTTAACTACGTAATTCTGAAAAGTCAATTCATATTGCCTAAAGTCAGTGCACATGCGGAAGTCAGTCTAATTGCGCTCTAGCTCCTTCCTCAGCGTCAAACGTTGCAGTATTTTTTTTTCAAGTTTAAACTTCATAAACTCCACCAAATTTATGCGTAATATATTAGACTTTCCGAAAACTACATAATTACGACACCTCAGTGACGTTTGGTGGCTTAAAAAGCAATTATGAATAGAAGTTAAACGAAAACAAAGATAATCGGGAAAAAGAAAGCCTTCCACCTTCCTCAGATTAAGTTTAAAAGCTGCAAATTTGCGAATATATAAAGAAGGAGTTTAAAAATCGAAGAGACGATTATTGTATGAGTTTTTGGTTCTTAGAAGCCTTGAAAAAAGACTGAACTAAAGTTATTTTTTTTTCACCAGACAAAATCGACGCATCATATGAAATGTGTAATACATTAGCTACCGCATGGGTTATCGATTATTTCATTGCGTTCGATGTGCCAATTTATAATACAATCTACAAAGGAAATTATCGCGTACGTCAATAAGAATCATGGCTCACAGTAAAAAAAAAAAAAACTGATGAAGCAGAGTATAATTCCAATCTGTCACCTAAACAATATTCCATTTTAGTTTTTTGGCCTTAGTTTATTTCCCCGCTTTGCGTTTCCCTCAGTCACGCTTTCTTCCTGTGTATACTCATGGTGCGTCTTTAACATTTTTTTAAGGTTTCAAACTGGAGCCGAAGCTTTTAAAATGGTGTTTTATACAAGATGTAAGCAGGTGTTGTTGTTGTTGTCAAAAAAAAAAAAAAAAAAAAAAAAAAAAAAAAATAATTGAAAGAAATGTTGCCTTTTACTTACACATAAAATACACAAAAAGGGGCTATAAAATATAGAAGAAGAAAAAAAGGAAGAAACTAAAAAAAGAAAAGAAAGCAAGATAAGAAAACTATACTTTGTTTGTGTCCTCCAGGTGACGCTATAAAATTGAACTTGAATAATTCGAATGCAAAAGTGACCAGTCCTATTTCAAACTATCTTGTCACCTCAGGTGCTACAATTTTATTTGTTTTCCGACTCCGACTTTTTCTGCATCTAATCTTTCTGGATCCATCGATGACGAAAGCATAGTTTTTTAATATATATTTTTTATTTTTTGTCAGTTACATCAGTGTTTTTAAGCGTTGCGCAAACTACAACTAGCTGCCAAAATATTCTCAGACACTCAGAAGAAAAATTAGCCTGTTCAAGGCATTCAGATACTAGAGCGCGGACAAAAAATTAGTTGATTGCGCGCTCCCTAGTCTTCTCTCGTTTTTTAACTCGTGGGGACGCGCGAGCGTACCACGAGTAATTGCAGGGACAGGGATATGCAAATGAGTCACTCGCTCACTCGTAGTAGACGGACTTCGTAATTAATCGGGTCCGAACTCGAGAGTGCGAAGAGCTATCGTTTCCGAAGAACCACGCGCTCGCCGAAGTTTGATGGTATCAAAATCTTTGCCGAGAGCGCGCATCGTTCGCTGCTCAGACTCAGAGTTTTCTTTGTGGCAAATTTTCTACAGTGCGGTTAGAGGTCTTACCAAATTTAAGACATGGAAGAGCCTTTCAGATGAGTACTTGGGGATTGGATTTTAAGAGCCTTTGACTCGTCCAGGCGTTTAACTTGACAAGAGAAGAAGAGCATTTGCTCTTCGACTCCACCGCAAGATCATAGGGGATATAATAATGAATTCCAGCTTGCTGGAAAGTGATCTGAAAGTGACAAAGTGTAATGCCGTGCCATTCTAAAGAACCTGTATGAGACGAAAATGGATGTGATTTTGATCATTAGCTCCAAAACTACAGGTGAAATCGAGATAACAGAACATATGTTTTGCGTGCTACTTCGCAGACGAGGTTTATTGGCTTTTTGTAAAGCGTAATTATGTTCTTTCATTAATTCATCGCCATGTAATGCGTTGACATTTTTCTTCTCCGTTAATGCTGCTCGATCATCTTCAAACGGCGGAAGCTCCATGGAAAAGGCATTAAATTAAAGACTTTTCGCCAAAGTTATGTGTCTCGTCAAGCTGAAGGTGCCGGGTCGACTCCTACTCTATGCTTTTCTTTTTTTCCGTTTCTGTTTTGTTTTGTTTCCAAAGAAAAGATAGTATATTAAACATATGGATAAACAATCCGAATTTCTATCATTTCCCACAATTTACTGCGGGAAAACCAGAGTTGATAACTATCATTTGATTATTTTCGAAACATCGTTCCCACGAGTTGACGATAGTCTTTCTTTGATTTCCTCTCGCGTTCCTTTATCGCTCCCCGCCTACAATTTAACTCTCTCTACACTGAACGCCTGGAACACTGCTACAGAAAAATCTGCTCTCATTCAGTAAAACCACGGCCGTAGTCAAATATCTGTGGGGTACAAGTCTCACTCCCTCCCTCTCCTCTGTTCAAATTTTTCCTCCAAATAGGCCACTCCCGAGTTCCAAAAACCCTCACTTTCAAAATGAGGCTAGGTGCACAACCTTTCTTGTGAAAATGAGTTTTATTTATTTTACTCGCCGGGAAATGGCTTACTGACATGCAGTCACGTGTCAACAGAAGTAATATTTCTTTGTAGGATTTTTATGCTCTTTCCTATAAGAATTAAACATATAATGAAAACTTCCCAATACTCTATTTTCTAACAGTGGCTACTAAAACAAATTCACGTGTAGTCTACGTGACAGTCACGTGTCAACAGAAGTAATGTTTCTTTGTAGGATTTTTATGTTCTTTCCTATAAGAATTAAACGTATAATGAAAACTTGCCAATACTCTATTTTCTAACAGTGGCTACTAAAACAAATTCACGTGTAGTCTACGTGACAGTCACGTGTCAACAGAAGTAATGTTTCTTTGTAGGATTTTTATGTTCTTTCCTATAAGAATTAAACGTATAATGAAAACTTGCCAATACTCTATTTTCTAACAGTGACTACTAAAACAAATTCACGTGCAGTCTACGTGACAGTCACGTGTCAACAGAAGTAATGTTTCTTTGTAGGATTTTTATGCTATTTCCTATAAGAATTAAACGTATAATGAAAACTTGCCAATACTCTATTTTCTAACAGTGACTACTAAAACAAATTCACGAGCAGTCTACGTGACAGTCACGTGTCAACAGAAGTAATGTTTCTTTGTAGGATTTTTATGCTCTTTCCTATAAGAATTAAACGTATAATGAAAACTTGCCAATACTCTATTTTCTAACGGTGGCTACTAAAACAAATTCACGTGCAGTCTACGTGACAGTCACGTGTCAGCAGAAGTAATATTTCTTTGTAGGATTTTTATGCTATTTCCTATAAGAATTAAACATTTAATGAAAACTTGCCAATACTCTATTTTCTAACAGTGGCTACTAAGACAAATTCGCGTGCAGCCTACGTGATAGTCACGTGTCAACGGGAGTCATGCTTCTTTCCTCGTGCAGGGCATTGTCAATATTACTTTTTACTCCAACCGATGCTCTTAGAGAGGCACTGCAAGGTTCTTTTGTACAACTTGGTTCATTTGTCACTTTGCTTGACCACAATACGATTGCATTGCGGTTTTCTTGAGAGTTTTTCACGCTTTTTGCTGCATTCCTCTTCTGCATTTTTCTAGAGTATGCTGCACGTACGTCGCTGTTTCTCAAAACGTGAAGTATGAAGATGAACAAACCCTAAAAATTTGTGTATCGACCCAAAAAAAGAAAGTTAAGTTCCTTCATAAGGGTGAGAGAAAAGAAGAAATGAAGGCAAAATTTATAGTCAATGGTTAATCGCAGTACATAGTATCAGGTACCGCCCACCATCTCTACTATTCTATGTTCTGTCATGTTAATTTTCTCGATCGCTACATTCCTTGACAGTACTGTCAAAGTCTGGAGTAAACTTCGAATGCTTGTGTGGCAAAATAAATAAATAAATAAATGAACGAATGAGAGAATAAAAACGGCATTTTTAGTCACCGAGCTAAGTATTTTTATAAAAGAATATTAGCTGCATGATTAAAACATCCGCAAATTGACATGTCGGTTAGCCTGAGAAAACAGCTGACATTGTGCGACGCCACCACTGGTTTCCCCGCGTAATGACGTTCGAGAAACTGATACTGATTAAGCGTCGCTACTCAGATCTGGGTAGTGCTTCTGATTGGTTAAAATCTGCTTCATCGAATTAGAAGCGCTTCCCAGATCTGGGTTGTGACACGTCATCAGTATGGACGTTCTTCGCCAAACGTCATTTCTTGGGGAAACCAGTGGTGACGTCGCGAAATCAGAGCACCCAACGTGAATTCTCGGAAAATATCTGTTCGGAAGACGATTTGAGATCTAGAATTTTCGGGACATTTTTTGTAAAATTTCTTGCTTGCCCGCCTCTCCTTGGATTTTCTAACATCTAAAAACATTGTATAATTGCACATTTTTAACGGATTTGTACCCTAAAAAGGTCCCCTAAGATTTTCCGGAGCCTTTTTTCTTGTTGAAATTTTCGAAAAGGTAAGTTTTGATCCCTATAGTTTTCGGATCACTAGACTTTCAGCTAGGAAAGCCGAACAGATGAAAAATTTTTAGGGGATGAAAATATGCCTATATCTACCGTTTAAATACTAAAATACGTTCAACAATGCTATGAACTATATTCTCGTTAAGTGCCCCTGCGAAATGTCGGCTATTTCCTCAAACTGCTCAAAAAGTTAACATGTTGAATTTTCTAGTACTATACCTGCAATGAGTTGAAGATGGTAAAGATGTACTGAAATACGAGTCCAGCATCTGTGACACTTAAGACACCAAACACCCAGGTCAGTCCCAGAAGAGGAAACAAAACTACGCATGCTTTAACTCCTTGTCGAACTCTTTCCAGATGAGATGTTTTGTCAGCTTGCATTCTTAGGATCTCATGAACCACTCGAGCAAGTAAAACTGAGTTTATCTGCGTGGAAACAATGCATGAAAATAAGATATCTTTTAATGGCAGAAACCTTGGACCCTGTTTCTTTCTTTCTCTCAGGTCTTGAAAATATAACTACAGTAAATAAATAAATAAATAGATAAATAAATAAATAAATAAATGAAAAGATAAAATAGAATCGATAAATAATCGATCAAAGAAACATCTCAAGCATATCACACTAAGTTGACGTCACAGCCTCCGCTCCACCGCACCGCTCTATCCCACATGTGTTTATTACCCGCAAATGAATGAATAAATGAAATGCCGTGGACGAGAGGACAATAAACGTGTCCTCTTTACAGTATCTATTTACATGTTAACAGTAAGCTCTGACGTCAGCATGCAAGGGCGGCACTGGCAGCCGCTATCAGTCCATTTATGGGCTTACTGTAACCCACCAAGACTATGATATGAAAGGTAGCTAAATATTCTGGTTTTCTTTTTTCTACATGAATCGTTATTAATTTCAGTTTCACGTCTTACATTTTCATGGCAAATATTTGATGATTATATCAATTTTTAATCAGTTACAGATGAGCCTCAATATTCTGTAAGCAATCATTTTTTAACTTGTTCTCTTAACAAAGTCATTCACTTATGGGAGATTTTCACTTTCTTACCCTTACCGTGCAAACTAAGAGAACAGGCGCAACAAACGTCCAGATAAGGTTATTTTTGAAGGAAACCCAGCAACTGAAAAAAATAAAGAAAATCAAGGTGTTACTAAGAAAGGATTGCTTGATAAAACCTGACGATTAAAATTGGAAATGTTGACGAAAAAGTCTACTAAGACTTATTTAAAAAATTTCAGTTGTTTGAAAACCAATTTTTTAGGCCTGTAACATGAACGTGCTCATAATAATTCCTCTGAAAAAGGCAGTTTGGGCAAATTTCATAAGTAACTTTGCAATAAATAAATAAATAGATGGTAATAAAAAAATAAACAGATTCTTGAAACCTCCAAGTTTTTCTTGCTCCGTTTTGTTCGGTAGTAATAAGATCTGGTTTGTTTACTTACAAATGATCATGAACATAGCTTTCTATCCCGCCGTCTTGAACGGAAGCAATCACGATCGATAAAACCACAATCAAAAGGGAGAGTCCTAAGGTTTGATTGAAAACGAAAAAGAGAAAAATGAAAAGTTAGGCTCAGTTGGGTTACGTCAGATACGTCAGTGTAGCGCTCTTATGAGACCTGTGGTGTGGAGAAGTGAGTGTACAAATTCCTCTGAATAGCAAGTCTCAATTGCAAGTCCTTGTAATTACGTAAGGAAAGTAACTAGATAAACCAGGAATCAATTGACCACTCCAGAAAATACCCGGCATAACATACCATAATGCTCTTTTTGTTCGTCGCCCCAAAATTTTGCATAAGCATTGTCTTCAGTTTCTCTTGGGAGTTAAAATGGCCCCAAGAGAAACTGAAAACAATTCTTATGCAAAATTTTGGGGTGACAAACATAGAGCATTATGGTATGTTATGGTATTTTTGGAGTGGTCAATTAACGAAATGATTTTGATCCCGGAAGGGACTTACAAGTCAAGTCCTCTTGACTAGATCTACCAACGGGCCATTTTCTGTCGGTAGGCTTTTGCTTTAATACTTACCCCAGGCCACTCCATAGAACAAGCGCCATCTGATGACCGTATTGAACACTTTGACAACCATCAGATACAGGTAAACACCCTCAAATAACATCCAAGCAAATCCCACCAGATAGAAGTAATGAATCATGGCTGCTACAAACACACACAGTTCCTATAAAGAAACGGAATTCACCGTCATCACATTGTCCATAACGGTACGCTTTTTACCAACCTCCCCCCACAAAAAATAAATGATTGAAAATAAAAAATAAAGCAAAGATACTAAAGAGAACTAAAGAGCACTCGACCACATTTTTTTAGCTCATTTGCGTAAAATCGAGCTCATGGAAAAGCCATCTAATGATATTAAGTTATTCAAAACTCAACTCTTTTATATCCAAAAGTCTTTCATTTGTGATTTTTCTTTTTAAATGTTTTGGCGATCAATTTATCATTCAGGCCAACAAAATGCTCATCATTTCTCTATCTTTCAGATTAACTTACATCTTTAGCTTACCTTAACTTCTGTGGCATCAATTCCAGCAAGAAACGTAATTTGTGCTATCGCCATGGCGACCACAAGGTTAAAGTGGATTTGAGTTTGGTCTTCTTTCAAATCCCTGAACGAGGCAAAAAATAATTGAACCCCATTGAAATGTTATTTTTTTCAAAGAGGGAAAATCCCATCTTAAGGTGCTTCTGCTTTCTTGATTTAAAAATCATAAATGAACGTCTGACAAGCTAATCCAGAGCCTAATTGCGCTACGAGGGGTTGTGAAGAGGGCGGCTGACTCCCCGTCCCTCTCCCTTGTGGCTCGTTGGAAGATAAATTTCTTACAGCCCCATGTTTTTCTGTTGAACGTCTAGCCTGTTCAAGCGCTTACTGTTTGCTTGTTGCAGGCGACAATCTTGGTTTCACTCTTCCCCAGGTTATACTTGGTGCATTTGAAACCAAGATAAAAACGCTTACCTCGACCTTGATCATTCCGGATATCACAAAAACCAAATCTAAATGTCTGAGCTCTTTTATAACGGTATACTATTTGTAACTCACATGAGGACGCAATATGCGACAGCGGTGAGTGTCTCTCCGATAAGCGATAGAGCACACCCAACGTAAGTAATGACTTTCAATGCCACCTTATGATCTGCTGGAACCTGTTGGAAAGATAGTTTAAAAACTGTTTGCAAATACGCTAAATCAATAAAGACAAATATTGGAAAGAGTCAGGGCCCCTTACTATTTTGCAAAGAAGTACTCTCAATGGCGAAAATAGGCATGGCCTTCTTATTACTCTAGTCACTAAAACTGTAAATGACAATGCGAAAAAGAGTTCATGGCGCCACTTTTCACATCTACATCTCTGGAAATCTGCGATATTAGCTAGTCAGAGAGAGTATAGCTATAAATCGCAGGTACTAACATCTGATCCAACGCTGGAGCGATATATCCTGCGGTATATCAAACATGGAAACACAGCAACAATAAAGCAATGTATGGAAATTGAGAGAATTTTTCATAGAACCTGTTTCACATTTTAGGCTAAACAGGTGCTTGTGTAGAGGTGCCCTAACTAGCAAATTCTAGCCTAAACGGTTCTTAAAATCTCGGTTCTTACTCGCGGGTTGTTATAGTATTGGGACATGCGGAAAACAAGCCAAAAAGCTGCTCCAACTAACCTCATTGTCTGCTCCAACGTGCATAAGAACAGCAAAGTTTGTGAGGTGGTTACAAGTGCATGTGATTTCCGTTTTGGTTCTATTGACCATTGAACATCCTTTGCTTGACCAAGAACCGTTGAAACTTGATCTGAAATATAGTTCCGGAGTATGACTGCTTAAAGGTAAAGGCCAATCAAAGGGCAGCAGTATATCAACCCTTAAACGGCATTAAAGTCGGTAGCAAGATATTTTCTCTATAGAATTGTCCAATTATTATCTAAAATAACTATAAATCAACTCATACTAATAACCCCTGATGCTGTTAAGTCCTTTCAGGTGCGTATTGAAAAATTCTGTCACACTTACTTGGCAGTAAAATCCCAGAAGACACAATGTGCCCCTAGTCCCTTAAAAAAGACATTTAAAGTTTCAGATAAGATAAAACTAACAAAAACCAAAGAAAGGTGAATGACTCGTCGGCGTCGTAGATATTTTTATACCTGGTACTAAGTAAAAGCGACAAACGAAACACGAAAGAAAGAAAGTGCATAATTTTACAACGCCTTATTAAGGGGTTACATCGTGGCTAGACCGTGAGTGGTCGTCAGGTTCTTACCTCATTGCCACGCGCGGCTAGCGAAAATTGAAATTATGCAAATTAATTGTAAAAAGGACTGCCCTTGTTCCTCGCGGCTTCGCTGCTCGCTCCTAACGCATGCTCTCGGACTACTCTGACTCAGAAGAAAACTAAGAGCCAGCTCGCAGATTACATCGTGGTGAAGTTCCGCAAGTTTTAAGCCACCAACTGAGTTTTCTTTGATTTTCAAAGTGCTCCAGATTAAGAAGAAGAAAAAAAACAAGAATATCCTAAAACAGTACAAGCAGTTATCAATCAATCACTTCTCGGCTAGAGAAGTTAGCATGCTCATTTTTTTATGAGTAGATAGATTTTAATGACACTTACTAGCTAAAGAACATACCTCATCGTAACGTAATATAACTGACACGTTTTTCTGAAGGATGACCTGGGGCCTTGGATCTAATGTGCTGCCTATTATATTACTTAGCGTGAAGTTCATGATAGTTTTACTGTCAGAAAAAATTGAAAAGACAATTTATGATTACAGTGTTGTAGAAATCTCACCGCAAAATTTCAGTGACTTTTAAAGGTAGCTTCTGAAAAAAATGGTCAAATACGTCCCCCTTAAAATTTTCTTCCTTAACAAATTATCTACTCACCCTGGAAAGTACATTATGGTTGTTTACCATTTACAAAAAGATTCCGGAAATTTCTGTTGAAAAGTAAATGCAACACGACTTTTTGGTTCCTTCCAGCGGACAATTTCCGGCAGCAACGAAACATCTGAAAAGGTAGTCCTGTGTTTTCGGAGGGAATACTTCAGACAGAAATTCGTGTTCCATTTCTTCAAGCCACCTTCGATACCAGTTTCAGGCCTTCGCAGTCGTTTTCCTATAAATGGAACTGATTCGTACAAATGGTAAACACGATTCCGGGGCTAAATTTACCAGTCCTGAATTTAGCGTAACATTTGCCTAAACCGTGGAGCGACTGGTTTGCTCATAGGGAATGGTAAACAACCTACAATACATTTTCTACAGTTTATTAGACTTTTGTTTCGTGAGTGATTACTTTGTACGGAGTTGGAGCAAATTTTTTTATTTATACCTCTTTGGAGTCTCTCAACCCTTAATGAATTTGTCGTTTTTAGAGTTAAATTAGAAATACGTTTATCACAACACCTCGCGAAGCCGTAAAGGGTCAGCAGTACGCATGAATTAAGGAAAACATGCCAATAGGTAAAAGATATAGTTAAAAAAGTAAAAACAAAACGGCCAAAAAGGGGAAAAAATGAAAGAAAAAAAATGCCTTGGAGGACAGTTGAATCCCGTCCACCTGCATGCAAAGTCGTCTCATAGACTACTACGCCACATCGTGGCCAAACTATTATCAGTCTTTAAAGCCTTTTCCCGTGAAATTCTGGTGGTAGACGCTGTTTGTAGTGGTGGAGCTGTGTTAATCAATAATTCAAGAGGTATATTTGAGGAAAATAAGCACTGTTTCAGCGTTAAAATCGGTAATTTAACTCATTTCATTTGGAGAATAATGGCCGACTAAGGCGCTAGGTGTCTTCCAAACCGTCGCGAAGTCCCTTGCTGACGGTCGTTGTACAGTTTGCAGTTCCCTGTCAAACGCATGAGGAGAATCGAATAAACAAAGTAAATAATTTTTCACAAAGGATGAATAGACACGTTAGCCTTTTATGAATAAAACATGATAGTGCACCTAGTGGAAATCGTGTCGTTTGGAAACCTGAAAATGTACCTTGACGTCACAATGTCGATGTCGAACCTACTTTTCTTGCTTTCCTTTAGCACTCACAACTATACTCCCATGGCCTCTCGTGCCATTCTTTCAAATTTCTTTGAAAAACAGTGAGCCTTAAAAGCGCCCACAATACCTTTCGGGCTTGTCGCGTGCACTTTTTCCGACAACCTTTCTCGAAAAAGCTGTATATACAAAGCCGACTCGTATTTTTGTCTCGCTGTGAGATCCACGCACGTTCCACGCGCTATGCAAATTTAGACAAGATTATAAACCTTCGCTAAGCGAGGCGAGGAATTAATTGCGGAAGACAAGAGAAGCCCGCAATCCTAATCTCCAGGTTGTTATTACGCATGCGTCGCATGTATGTAGCCAGCATTTGTTTGGACTTCCACTAAGAGTAAATAGAATGCGTAGAACTCGTGTTTTGACCATCTGTCACGTGACACGTCACAGCGTTTGAGCAAAATCGTTTTGACCTTCGATCGTTGTCGCCCGCACTCCTTTCAACTTTGGTTATTACTACTATGTTTTATATGTAAGAGATTAAAAGGCCTATATGCCTAACCCGTTTAATCCAACTCTTTCTCCACCGGGTATCCACTTCCTGACCTCACCATGGTAGAGCATGCATACGGTGACAGTGTCTGAGATAAAATTAAAGTGATTAGGCAAAAAGTTAAATGCTTAGCCGATACCGAATTTAACATTAAGGTCTCTGACCTTTTATTTCCCCTTTCTTGAGTTAGCATAATATAGGCTACAGTCGAACCTCTCTAGTGCGGACATTGAAGGAACAGAGCGAAGTGTCCGTATTAGAGAGGTCACTACGATGACGTCACATTCTTGACTCCACTTACAGTTTTAAGTGTTCAGTAGCTAAAACTAGGCTTACACTCGCCTTTAAACTACATTTAAGTTTATTAAATCACAGTACAAAGACACTGTCTTTCAATAGCATACAACATTGTACATATCACTGTTTCAAAACGAAACAAGCTACAGCGCAATGGTGCATGTAAAAAGTTGTATTTATTCGAATAAGCGCCCAACCTCGAATTAGCGCCCACCTCGAATAAGCGCCCATCCTAAAGGCAGAAAAAGTTAATAAGCGCCCAGCCTCGAATAAGCGCCCACCCCCACCCCACTCCCTCCCACACAAACTCCAATAAAAGATAATAAGAGACCCTCCCGAAGACGGAGTTTTCTTCAGAGTATTTTACTAAAACCTTGTTTTGTTACTTCTTCGCTTTTTGTTGCTACCATTTATTGTTTTGTTGCAAAATAAACATACTTCACTTGCTGAGAATGGTGAAAATTTAATAAGCGCCCAGCCTCGAATAAGCGCCCACCTCGAATAAGCGCCCACTATCAAGGTCCAAAAATTTAATAAGCGCCCAGGGCGGTTAATCGAATAAATACGGTAAAGCACAATTCTGAAAGTGTCTTTCGCTATTTTGCAAGTGCAGTAAACAGTAACTAGAGTACAAAATGCAATAGAAAAGATCTTTATGCTATCTGTAGTTATTCAAACCTTGAAAAAGTCGGTTATGTTCCTCTGCACACCTTTTGCAAATTGTCGTTTGATATACTAACAGCGACGGGCTTTTGAAGTCCCCTTGCATAGCTCATCAGCCAGACGGGATTCACCCTGTGCAGATTCAGCTGATCTGGATTCGGGATTCACCTGATCACCGCAGTGTCCGTAATAAAGGGGTTAAGTTATACGAATTGACTCTCTGGGGCCGAGATTTAGTGTCCGTTGTCCGTATTATAGAGAGTCCGCATTGTAGAGGTTTTTTTTTTAAAGAAAATGTATGAGAATTTTGTCGGGACATTGGAAACTGTCCTTAATATAGAGGTGTCCGTACCCAGCGGTTCGACTGTATTTGAATTCTTAACTCAATCTTAACTAATTCCAAACAATCTTGCCGGTGCCAAAGTGCATTTATGCAATGTTTGAAAAACTGGTACGACTTTTAAAAATATATTATTGGTCGCCACAGTGCAAGTACTCATAATTATCTCATAATTAAGGTGCTAGTGACACTGCTTTTACCTTGTGCTTTGAAGTTTTCCGAAGGAATCACAATGCTCTCTGTTCCATTTCTTTTAGAGCAAGTAATTGGTTTCGTATTGTTTTCCAAAACCCTCTGAATCTTCATTACTACAAAACCTATAACCAATAACTGTCTGACTGTAAAGTTTTACCAATGAAATATGTCAGTTATTACAATATTCGTATGATGTCATACAATTGTAGTGACTTTTGATGGGTGATTTGGTTTTGTTAAGAATCTTCTTCCCCAAACCTCTGATGATATTTTTTTTTTTCCTGACATTGACAACTTGACGATGTAAGATTTTTTTTTTCCAGCACTATAAGCAATGAAAAATATTTCTCTTCAATGCAGAAACTTTTTCCGCCAGGTATTTCCTTGCAAGAATTATTTTTTCCTCGAAATCAGTTTGCAGGATATATTTTCCTGAAATCAGCCATACCCTCCCCCACTCAAAAGTCAAATGGTTGGCCCATTAAGACGTAGCGTACACCTGCCGGTACAGCCCTTTCACTTCCAGGTTCGCCATTTCTTATATTAATTCAAATAATGAGAGGTAATTAGTTTTTGTATAGCCCAACTTGTAACGGCTGGTTTTAGAAAATTTCAGGTAGAGAAAATCTGTCTGTCGTATGTCTGTTCGTATAGAAAAAAAAAAATCAGTACCTGGGATAGTTTTCTCTAAAAAAAATTTGTTTGCATAGATTTCTCTTTAAATGGCCTAGTTAATTCCAGGTGTGATCACTCAGCCTCCCCTCCCCTCCCCCCAACCTAGCTCCTAGTATTGGCCACTCCAAAAATAGCTAACCGGTTAATATGCTTTTATTAATTACGGCCATACGCACCACTTGACTACACTGTAAAAAAGAAAAAAAAAATAAAATAAAACTGACTCATCAAACAGAGCACAAAACTCACCAAACAATTCTTGCACAATAACTGCGCTCTCCTTCGCTGTGAGATGAATTTTGCCGTATTTTATTGCAAATGATTCGAGTTCGTGAGTGGCTACCAGTATATTTCTGTCATTTCCTCCTGGCGGTAGTTTTTTTGCATCTTCTAAAAAAATTCTGGATGCATTGATTCCTTCCTGTGAAAAAGAAAAAAAAAAAACGTAAAATGGATGGATTAGAGACGATATGCCGCTGTAAGACCATCTATTCTTTATAATGAATACATGACGTTTATATTGAACCTTGTCAAATATCTGTCAACATCTGACAAGCTTAATGTTATCAGCTAAAAGAACCAAGCAAATTAATCAATTTTTGCCCCTTCCGATATCAAATGAGAAAGAAATCACCTTGAAAAAACGGACTAAATTTTTTTCATGCTTGAGTGCCTCATTTCAAGAAAAAAAATGATCAATAAATACATGCGACATTAATAAGAGTCAGTGATCAAGGCCGTATTCAACTCAGGCATCAAGTTAGTTATTTGCAGTAGAGACGACTTCACCTGTAAGGATCCTTTGTTGCTAACATTGAGAGCCCTAATCAATGAAGAGTACCGAGATACCTGCAAAGGAATGTGTAAAGGTTTTGTGAACTGGCCAATTTTGCTCCATAGTATTTCCCTACATCAGCATTTACCATTAATTTTGATTCGGGCGGACGCAGTCAACTTTCGCCTTTATTTGCGGACACCTCGCTACTACGAACTGGACAGTAGCTGAAAAGTATCGAGCACATAGCAATGGGGGAAATTGTGACAGCGTTTGCTTACCGCGTTCACTTCGGACTCAAACACTCAGAGCTACCTGAATCCCCGGAAGACGTTAAAATGCAGAGGTTTTTACCAGAAAGAAAATCCCCTCATTAAAGAGACAATCGTGTTTTCACCCTATACTATCTTTTATAGAGTTGCGAATTCTTCTTTGGCAATACTGATCGACCATGATTTATAACTCTCTTGTCTTAACTGGCAACGAGCAGCCTCTTTCAACATTCAGACATAATCAATTGATTTTTTCACCGTCTTTTATTCCTTCCTTTTCTATGGTTCTATGGTTCTCAAGTTACGCATCAACTGAAATTATCGCAGTTGTTTTCTTAGGAATTCTTCGCGCACTGCGCTGTTGGGGGTCCTTCTGTCCTGAACGAAACTAACTTTTGTTCTCAATGGGCTGCCTCAACGGGAGATGACTCTCAAAGGCTATGGCCAGTTTCATAGAAGACAATCATCCCGACCTCAGTAAATTTGCATCTTTTCTTGTGAGATACCATGCAGTTCATATATTTTCTTGCTGGTTGCGCGAGTTTGAGGTGAAATAATTTGTTGCGTTTTTATCATGCTTGTGTTTTCAATAAAAATCTGTAGTTATTAACAATCCACCATAACTCACCAATATTTTCCAAGTTGGTATTTGTGTTGTTTTAGATGATAACTGTGTTATTGTTGATTGTAGTGCTGGTGATTTTGTTGATGGTACAGCTGACGGAAATGCCGCCGCGGTCGATGAATCTCTCATGAAAGTTGGTATGGGTGACGTTGAAGATGGCGATGTTTTTTCTATTTCTGTTATCAATGATTGTACAGGTAACGGTGATGACGCAGTTGTCGACTCTGCTGTCATTGTTGATATGGGCGATGGTGATAATGTTGCTGTTGTTGATGTTTGTGCCATCAGTGTTGGTACACGTGTCATAGATGATGATGTAGGTGATGACATTTCTGTTATCGATGTTGATATGAGTGTCTTTGATGATGACGATGTTGCAGATGTTTTTGTTATCAATGAAGATATGGGTGAAGGTGATGATGTGGGTGAATGTGATAAGAGTGTTGTTGTTGTTGCTGTCGTCCAAGCATCTGCGTGAATATGAGTTAAAAAAAATGTTACATACAAAAATAAAGGCTACATGGTACAAGCCGCTGATCCGACCATTTACAAACAGCCTGACAAAAATAATCAAAACTAAAACAAACTGTAAAACGAAAACATGTAAAACAGGAGAGAAAAAAGGAGGAATGGTGGCCTAGTGCTCAACTACCCGAGCTTTATCATAGAGTATTTAACTTAATGTAACGCTGTCTGTTTTACCATGAATATAAAATTGGTAAATACTAAGCTAGTGTTAAATCGTAATCTTAAATGTTTTTAGAGGTGGAGCATGTGTGATGTAATACGAGATAGTGGGTTAGAATGGTCAATTTACTCCTCTTTACTGTCGATTTAGTGTCGATAAGAAAACCTATACTTTAATTAATATTCACATGTTCTGAATTAACGTCGAGTCAGTTTGGTGAAAAAGAAATTCCATAGTGTAAAGTTAAGTGAACTGGACGAAGTAGAAAAATTATACAAAGTGAAAATCCAAGTGTACAGCTTAGCACCCACTCAAACCCATAGAGAAGACAACGAAGAAAATGAATCTGATATCGCGGCCGCTACACTGATCCGCCGTCCGCACCGCCATTGAGCATTACCTAAACTTGTACGAATACCATTTCTCGTACATCAAAGATCTGGCGAGTTACTCTAGATCCTTCTGTTGTTCCCATTGCGGTAAATATTGGAAGAACGGGTCCCGTTGAAGTCTTCACGAGGAGACCTGTGACCGCAAAGTGCAGATCAAGTACCCGGGTGGCGAGTAGTAGGACTACCAAAAACCGTTTTTCGAGAACTAGAAAAAGAAGGCATTGTCGTTCCTGAAGAAGCACGCTATTTTCCGTATCTACTCACGCGACATTTAATTTCGAATGCTACTGTGACAAGGAGAAAACACAAGAATTAAAAAACAAAGATAAATTAAACTAGCAATCTGTACCCTTGAGTGCCAACGTACGTAGTTGTAACGTGCCTGATTACCAAGCACCCAAATGTTTCGTGTCTAACGACGACCCAAACGCGTTTATTACAGAGTTTATCCAGTACCTCACCAAGATAAGCCTGAAAAGTTCCCCTCTGCCCCGTTAACAGTTCACACCCATGTCTCAATCACTGAAACAAGCATCTGCCCCAAACCTTGGTGAGACGCATGAAGATCAACTCGCGCAAATACCTGTAGATATACAAGAAGGAAATGTAGAGTATGACAGAAGCGGACTCGACAGCGAACAAGGGGAAGAAAGCGAAGAGGCAGACAGCGAAGATGAAAGTAGAGGGATTAATTTGATTGCGAGCGATAATGAGGACGATGAGGAAGAAATTGAACCTGAGGACGAACAAGACAATAAAAGGAACAATTCAATTGATCCTTGTTAAGTTATTAAAAAAATTTATTGTTTTTTTGTGTTTTTATAGTCAAGGTTTTGCCTCGAAGTTTTTACTGTGCAAACTGTATGCAACCGTTGGCTTGTTAACTTGCATAATTAAGTGACTAACGACGCGTGAAACAAGGCAATAAGCTCACCAAGCGCTGAGACTTCAATAATTAGTCGTTTCTTCGAGATAGAAAGGAGTAAACGATTTTGTAATAGTAAGTCAAAATTGAAATAAAGAGTTTTCAGCTCCACTTTCTGAATGTGTGTGTTTTGTTTATATATTCGATTATTAGCGCTAAAAAGAAGACATAAGCCGTTTCTCGCTTTGCTAGGTGATCGCTCCTGAATTACTCCTATTTTGTAACTAGACGTTCTGACAAACCGACTAAAGTTACTTACCGGGCAAGTCTTTAATTTAGACAAGCCTTATAATTGTTCCTATTGTGTAAGAGAGACGCTCATTAGGAAACCTATACCGAATTTTTATGCAGGAAGGTATGTGAATGTTAATGATTTACCTATACCTAATCGACACTACCAAATTAATATGCAGGAACGCAGTTGAATCTTAATGATTTACTTATACCTATACACCTACGGGGCTTATAATGCAACATAGTACACTACTGGAAACAATGGGAGAAGCCTATTGTTCCTCTTTTATAAGAGAGCACCTCGCTTCGTGTGAAAAGAACGACTTGATACTAACTCGACAGTGTTATCGTTATACAGGTCTAGATGGTATTTACCATATACAAAGAGAGATAGGCGACGGTGACGTCATAGACTCGACCTAACTCCACAGTTACTCGATAGTCAGAGGAGTAAATTGACCATTCTAAACTACTCGAGATCCCCGTTGACACCCACGCCAAAATAATGCGCAAAATGCCTCCATTCAGACGTAATTACATCCTCGGAGACCCAGGGGCAGTCAGTCGGGTAGGGAGAAAAGGCCGGAAGAAAGTTTTCAAGTAAGGGCGAAAGAGCCCCTGGGTACCGACTCTCACCGGACCATTTCCAAAAATTCCAGCGGATGCCGGCTCCTGATTGGGCACAAAAAATGCTTTGTATTATTGTGCCCAATCGGCGAACACATCTCCTGAGTTTTTTTCGTGTTTTCGTACACGACGGCTATTGTCTCGATAACGTCTTGTCTGTCTCATGTACCAAAGAAATGCCGGCAGTCAGGAAACTTTCAGTTTTGATATAAAATACCCATCTGATTTCAAAATACTGTCTGGCCGAAAACAAAAGACGCTTTTCCAAAAATACGAGCTTCAGCTTACAACAGGTATTCACGTGTGCATCGGCCACTTCTTGCGTAAATATTTATAGAGAGTTTTTAAAAGATACCACGACGGAAGACTGCCACGAAAACGCGTCAGTTTACGTCCTTCACAAAACGTGAAATTAGGCATTTTCACGGGTTACGTCGTACAGTTGACGGCAAAGAAATGTACAAAAAAGCGTGATGCTCGTGCAAAGTTGTTGTTTTGCCTTGTCAAGCTATTGCTTATTTGACTTTCTTGTCGCCGCCCCATCTTAAACTTCCTATTATTTACGATACATTGTGATCCGTCAAAAACAGAATATTCTCGGGGCAAATTCAATTGCTCCTGCTCATAGCATCCCAAACGTTTTTTTCGACTCATCGGTAGTTCCTTCGTTTCTGGATAGGAAAGTAGAAAAAAAAAGTTTCCCTTGCACGCCCAAGCTTGGTGAACGAGCTCGGCATGTGTGGCGAGACAATAGCTGTCGTGTACGAACTCATGAAAAGAACTCAGGCGAAGCTGTTCGCCGATTGGGCACAATAATACAAAGCATTTTGTGTGCCCAATCACTAGCCGGCAGCCGCTTGAGTTTTTGGAAATAGTTCGGTGAGAGTTGGTACCCAGGGGCTCTTTCGCCCGTACTTGAAAACTTTCGTCCCGCCTTTTCTCCCGACCCGACTGACTGCCCTTGGGTCTCCGAGAATGACATTATTATAGAAGTATAGCTACCATAACCACGTTGGAGGCGAGTAAAAAAAGTTTACATACCGAAGTTATCAGTTGAAAACTAATAGTTTATGGTTACTATCCCGTTCTTAATTACAACAGGCTGATAAGCACGACAAAAACAAAAAAAAATTAAAGACAATTATATATATTCTTATGACTGCTCACTTAACTGACGTTCGATCCTATCTTCTAAAACCCTCGCTTTGTTTTTTTGTTTTTTAATTTTCAAATATCAGTGCAAGAATATAATTTGTTACGTGCAACATACGGCAATAACTTTTGTCACTTTTGCAACAGCACACTGTTCTTCCATCTTCTCTGCAGTCACTGTTGAACATGTTGCATCTGATGCTCCTGTTAGGATTGCCGCCACAGCTCTTCTTACATTTACATTTAGGCCCATTGTCTCTGTCTGGACCACACTTGTCTTCCTGGTCATCCCCTGACCCTGAAGAATATTTCGGGAATGATAGCAATAAGTCTCACAATCTAACACAGTATTACCTATCCCTTTCCTGAAAAATTTGAGGTACTGATTCACAGGAGTCAGCCCGAGTGCTAGAGGATTTTTTTCCTCCTTTCACCTCCCTCTTTTTGCATCTCGCTGCTTGTGAGCGAGAAGACCTCTGACATCCACTCAGGCCACTTAAGGCATGACTATCGAATTAAATGTGCATATTTTGATAAAATGCTATTGAAAAAGTCAGCAGTCAAGAGCCAAGATGTACCAAAATTCTTACTACCCTTGAGTGTAAAGACCATGTTAAATATCTTAGCGCATGCGTCCTATTGGACAGCAATTTAAGCTAGATATTTCATAATAATAATGTTGCATCAAAGGTAAGCAGTTGTTGCCCGTCTTAGGCACTTTCGTCCCACGTACAACCCTTTTAAATATTTATCAATCATTGATATTGCCTCATCTGACATGCGGTTGGCGGCTTAGGGTGAAGCTGCCAAAACCCATTTACAAAAAATTCTCGTTCTACAAAAACGAGTCCTTCGTTTGATGTATTTTTCTGAACCCAGAGCACATGCAGGATCATTCTACCCCTACAAATATTATATGCTGAAAAAGTATCTTCTATAATGTTTGACGTCTCCTGCTTGAATGCTCCGTCTAACATCTGTGATCTCTTTACCAAAGCTAATTCAAAGCACAAGTATGAGACCAGGTTTTCTTGTCAAGCCTGAATCAAAATCAAGGTTCTTTTTCCAGTTTTGGAGCTAGACTTTGGAACGCAATTCCCAACGAATTTCGTAAACTCTCCAAGGATTTTTTTTAAAAAAATTTTCATGACTTATTGCTCTCGATAATGGAAACAGAGGATGATTATGTTGAAGTGCCCTTTCTGCTACAAAAAATCGCAAACTCTGCAGCCACGACTTAATGCACCAAACATTGATAGCTCTTGAGTAAATTTCTGTAAAACTATATTTGTAACTCTAGCTTGAATTTTTTTGTAATTCTCATTTTTCTGCTCATTAAAATTTGTTTAGTTGACTTTGATATAATCTTCATAGCTTCCTTTAATTTAATATTTATGACTGCTGTAACCTTTCCACTGCCCGCCTCGTCTAGCTCTTGCTACTTGCGGGCGGAGATGGCAAAACGATGTGTGTAAAAATAAAGTATATTAGAGAGGTTTGCCTCTATCAATGATCCTGAAAATTGAACTACAAATAAAGCTTAATGGCCTTACAAATATGGACATTTAAGAAGCTCAAATTTTCGTCATGTGACTGATAATTGAGAATTAACGGTCAAAATATTTACCCTAAAATGGGGAAATAATAATGAAAGAGCAACAAGTTCTTTTAGGTACATTTCATAGGCTATTAAAAAGGTTCTGAAAAATTCGCCTTGAATGTGTACTAATACGTTATATAGAAATCGGTAAATAAAGGGAAAAGGGTCACGTGACATGTTAATTAGTTAAATAGCTAATAGAATAAATAACATTTCCAATAATACAAGACAGATTTACGATTTACACTGTTTATGGAACATTTTGGTAGTGAAAGTTCCTAAGATTAAGGTTTGCAAACCCTTCCCCGTTTAGGAAAACGTGTTTTGTGACGTTATTGACGAAGCAATGTGTTTGAAATCACGTCTCACGTGTTTTTTTCGTTGAAACACATTTGTAGTTCACTTTTCAGGATCACTGATGGAAGCATACCGTTCTAAATAGCATTTCACAAAATATGCAGATTTAATTAGGTAGTCATGCCTTAAGTGGCCTGAGCAGGGTACATCTGAGCATGCGTGACATTGGCCGAGCGTTAGCTAGGTTAAGATAGGTGGATACTGTTCTTGAAGCAAAAAAGGACAGGTTCAACGAAAGGAAGATCATTGGTAAAATATGTTCATCGATTTATTATCATATGGCCACAATTGTTACTATTGTCATGAGAAAGGGCCAGATATTTAAACGGAGTTTAGCCAGTGTATAACAAAACCGCGTTTTAACCCTTTTTTTATCTGCCAAACGCTTTTATGTAAGCACTATTTATCGTGAACAGTTTCATAAAAGCATACAGCGTAGACTATGTTCATGCATACGCAGACGATAACCAGTTATATATCTCATTTAAGCCTGGTTCTAGTGCGAGTGAATTGGAAGCGGTAACTGCATTACAAGATTGCATTATAGACATCAAGACTTGCATGACGGCTGACAAACTTAAGCTAAATGATGTTTATTATAACTTCTTTATGTTGTGAGCATTTCCTCGTGTGTAAACAAGAATCGTAGCTCTTTCACTGTAAAAAAGTGACGTTCTTTCTATTTCAGTGTCACCACAAATTGCGTTTTCAGGCAGGCGTTCTTTCTGCACATACTTATCCTGCAGTTTTACATTTTCATTTTTAAGGTTTCAAACTGGAGGTCATGTGATTAAAGAGCTTTTAGATTAGTCTTATCCAATATATAAGCAGTTGTTGTTAAAAAAAAGCGAGAAAAGAAATATTGCCTCACACATAAAAAACATGTTATAATGTTATAATATAGCAAGAAGTAAAAATGACATGCAAATGAAATAGAAATATAGAAGGAAAAAAAAAAAAGAAAAGAATGGAAAGAAAACAATGTTTTGTTTACCACTGGTAACGCTATAATAAAAGTAAATTGAATTTGAATAATTCGAATAAGTCAAACCATCTTAAAATCGCTGGCATTTACTATTAATCAGTTCCACAACCACGACGCCGAAGTGTACGCTCCATAGCGTCTTGTTGCTTAAGCAAAATATTTCATATCACATCTTGCACCAACCATGCAGTTACCCACAATCTCTTTGTTTCATGGCATGTCTTCGGCGCTATATGCTGTGCTATAAGATTTTGCCATGTCGCCAACAAAAAGGGAATGAAAAGACTGAAATATAAACAGAATCAGCTTTCAAGCGTTGAATAAGGATAGAGCATTTAATGTATTTTACTCACCAGCGGTCCACAGGAATATACATGTAACAAATATACATAGGAAGTTACGGAATTTCATCTTGTTACCATGGTGCTAGTTCATTGCAAAAGAGAAAGTAATTGCAAAGTTTACATTAATAATTATTGAATTTTCATGTGTTAGAACTCGATTTTTCTAGGTGTTGGCTTCACTCAGATGCTTACTATATTACATGTGAATAATACAACGAGAAGATATGCAGATTTCCATATTTATAGCATTAAGTTGCTTCTCGCTATTCACCACAAAGATGTAGTTATGTTATTGTATTTATTTCAAATGAAAATATAAGCCTAAATTTTGCTGCTGCACCGATAAATTAGATGCGGCGTTGCCTCTCAAAATAAGGGGCAAATAACTACTAAAAAAAACACGAAAGGAAGTAAAAGAAACAAGATAGTCTTCTTTTGCTAATTTTCATTTGAATTTTAAAAGAAGTAATCTAAAGGGGTAGTAAAAAAGTCAGAACATATCTGCAGCACGCCATCTGCTAACCGCTCATGACATTTCATTGAATCTTAGCAGGTGGAATGAGAGTTATCTACTTATTGCGGCATATACGTTTTTTTATTTTTTAACGGTGCAACGGTAGAAAACACACGGTTTCAAATGACCAAAAAATGCCATATTACATTTCGATACGAATTTGTTAGGGAGAAAACAATTACCTGATCAGAATTTAGCAAAATTACTGAGATACAGTTAATTAAGCTGACGCGCTGATCAATATCGATTCTTAAGTTGGACATCGTGCCAAAGAAGTTATGATCACCTTTGACGCTTTAAAAGGCTATACTTGTTTTCGATGATATAGCGTGCAGAGGGATTCGACAAGACCAAGGGGCTATTTACTTGATACAGGAACGAATTTTACTTCGGAATGAGTTTCGTTCCAGTGTGAAGTTCGTACTGACATCACATGACAAAATAACCAGCTTGGCCTGAGGCGTTCTTGCTTATGTAAACCGTTCTCGCCCCAGCTCAGATTCTAAGGACTCATTTATCTTATTTACAACTAGCAAGTGAAGTTCACCTACCATGAAAGTCTTGAAAAGCTGTTAGTTTACTTTTCCAATACACTTGTTACACAGTTAGCGACAGTAAAGGGTTACTGGTCTCCGATTTAATTTAAGATTGAAGTAGTATTGAAAAAATATTGTAATGTCTCTCCAATTTGCTTAATTCAGTTCAACGTGAAATTCTTCTGACGTAATCACACAAACTTCATGCATAAATGAAAAAGTAATTTCAAGTGAAATTTCAGTTCTGAGTTGTTAAGTTCGAAAGGTTCAGGAGATTGAAATGATTAAAATAAAGAAATTGCCTGCGCTTGAAGTTTCGGTTGTGACGTCATTAAAAACATGTTGTGAACAACGTTAAAACGTAATATTTTTGGTTGCCATGGGTGTTAAAGAAAGTTTGTACACGTATGTTTTTCTTACTCCTATAACGAGCAAAGTAGTTTTTAAGCTTTCGCAAAACAAATTATGAAATACTATGGTAAGCTGATGATCTGGATTGTCTCTTTTAAATATAATGTCTCATTCGGTTTGTCTCGGTTCGGTAAAATTGCCCAGTCTCAGTGGAACGACCCATTAAGTTAAAGGACGTTTTACATAGAGGTATGATTGACAACTGATGGCAAAAACTGGTGTTGGTCAAAAGGAAGAAGAATTACCAGTCAAATACTTAAAGCGAAAGAGTTATAACTATAATATTTTATAGGCAACATTTTCGCCTTTATAGCGGAGCTCCACCCGCGCTCGAAGCGCACGCTTGGACGGAGCCCCATAGCTAAGGAAATGTGGTAAGCTACCTATCCGAGAAAATTTGGTAATCACGTGACCGTACGACCGTCCGTCCGCACCACAGGG